CTTTTCATTGGATAAACGTGACGTTTATATAGTTTTATATACACGGATGCTGTAGATTCATGAAGAAATCTCGCTTTTTTTCTCTAAAAATGATGCTTGCTGTATTATAAATTCGTTATAAATATTTCTGACATATATAAACAGTTTTTGCAATATAACCCTTGCCTAGCGGCTCGGGTTATATTTACAAACAACCGTTTATATAGGGCCATATAACCTGTCAAAAATCTTTATAACTAATAATATAAACAGTGTTAAGAAGACTGCTAAATGAAAGCGTTGTACCATAAGCGCATCAATGAAAAGAAAATATCTTTGTTATCGTTAACTGCCCATATTTTGGATATGCGATAAATAGAATGTTATGTTCGTATACCTTCATTACTAAATTTGGCTCGCATAATATAATTCTATTTGACTCATTCAATAAATTCAGTATTCAACTTACACTCTTTCAATATTCTCTATATAAGCCCTGCCATGACAAAACCAACATAATGGGTTTGCGACCAGCATGGATCCAGACCAGCCTGCACATCCGCGCAGTCTGATCAAGATCCATGCTGTTCGCTTACCAACCCTATTACAAGTAAAGAAACTGATAGCGAACAGCATGGATCCTGATCAGACTGCGCGGATGCGCAGGCTGGTCTGGATCCATGCTGGTCGCAAACGCACTATGTTGGTTTTGTCGTGACGCGGCTTATATATATGTATTAAACAATGCTAAAATGAATCTCATGATTTTTGTGTCGCCTCTACGGAGTAGTGGCGACATATAGGGATCACTTCTCCGTCGTCTGTCTGTCCGTCTGTCTGTCTGTCTGTCTGTCTGTCCGTCCGTCCGTCACAAAACTTGTCCGGACTACTGCTCATAAACTACTGGTGCAATTTCATCCAAACTTTACAGGAATGATCAGTACCAAGTCTAGTTGTGCATATTGTCAGCATTTTCCGGTTCAATGATTTTTGTCAGAGTTATGGCCCTTTAATAATTTTTAATTTTAAAGTTTGTCCGGACTACTTCTCTTATACCACTAATGCAATTTCAATGAAACTTTACAGGATTGATCTGTAGCTCAAGTCCTTGCGCATATTGCACGGGTTTTCCGGTTGAATGATTTTTGGCCGAGTTATGGCCCTTTGATAAAAAGGTGTTTTTTTTCTGTGTGTTGCCAGATACACAAAAGCTTGTCCGGACTACTTTTCATAAACTACTGGTGCAATTTCATCCAAACTTTACAGGAATGATCAGTACCAAGTCTAGTTGTGCATATTGTCAGCATTTTCCGGTTCAATGATTTTTGTCAGAGTTATGGCCCTTTAATAATTTTTAATTTTAAAGTTTGTCCGGACTACTTCTCTTATACCACTAATGCAATTTCAATGAAACTTTACAGGATTGATCTGTAGCTCAAGTCCTTGCGCATATTGGACGGGTTTTCCGGTTGAATGATTTTTGGCCGAGTTATGGCCCTTTGATAAAAAGGTGTTTTTTTTTTTGTGTTGCCAGATACGCAAAAGCTTGTCCGGACTACTCCTCATAAACTAGTCTACTGGTGCAATTTTATCCAAACTTTACAGGAATGATCAGTACCAAGTCTAGTTGTGCACTGTCCGTCTGTCTGTCACAAAAGTTGTCCCAACATGAATTTGGCCATCATGAGGCGACACATGTGATTACTGATCGCTCTTGTATATATCTCTGACACATGAGTACAAACAGAAAGATTCAGATTTATGAGACTCAGTTATTATTATTGTTTTCTATTGTTATTAGACCTAGGCATCAGCTGTATCTCCTGAACTTACAGTCGTCTTTGTTGACACGAAAATGTCACTTTGTCCTAGCATTGCCAAAGACGGCTCTTATAACAATTAGTACAAAACCAGTCATCTGAAAAATTAATATTTCCAGAAACATGCAGATTTTATAAAGGAGAGAGGGGGAAAGTATCGCTATTTCATTAAAGGGGGGAAAAAAGCAGCTATTTCATTACTGCTATAAGATTAGCTTAAGTTTTAATTAAATGTCGTAGAAAGTCACAATATTATCTTATACCAGGAGAACTATTTGACCATCAGATCTAATTACTGTCAGCTATGGTTTGGTGAAATTAAGACTTGAAGAGATTTGCCTTAGGATTCATGGAATAGTACATTCCCATTATATTTTCTGATGCATGATCCATGTTTTATGATATCTTCTACTTATTTTTTATTTGCTTTTTGATATTTTGTGAAATGTTTTAAACAAAGCAGATTACTTTATATAATTTAGTACTTTATATTCCCTTCTTAAGTGAATTAACATGTTTTGTTCTGAGTTTCTTCCTATGTCATAATGTGTATGGTTTTTGATGTGTAAGGGGTGACTGAACTGTGCTCTGATGAAATCAAAGCGGCTTACGGAACCTTGTAATCCGGAGGGTAAACTTCCAAAACCACCTCTGTATAAGCTATGGACATCTGGGTAAATAATACTAAACATGGAATGTACGTCGATATTAAAGGGCCGAAAGGTCACATTCTATTCTTTTTGTCTAGAACTTTTGCGTGGAACACATAATTTATGTATTGAGAAATCATTCATCAGCTTGGAACATTGAATAGATTAAGACCACCTGTCTGTTATGACCATCTTTATAATAAGACCATTTGTTAATCAGTTAGCTTATACTATTAAAAAAATTGTTTAATCCTTCCATACTAAATTCTTAAAAAACAAAAACAACTTACAGAAACAACTGAACACTCAAGACTTAAAGTATTAATGCAGAACATTAGTGCTATGTGACCAGTCTAATAATTGTCACTTAGCAAGTTTGTATTCCCCAAAAATTGATAATGCACTACTTTGGAAATGAAATTTTGACAAGTCTTTAGGTTTAATTGAATTAATGCTACAATTGTATCACTTTTCACTATCTTTTCTACAGATGAGTATTTTCCTATCATTAGTTTAGTTTTTACAAAAAGATATCTATCTTCAAACTGGTTAGACATTTACAGGAAAACAGCCGTGATTAAGCAGAATGATATAGCATGAAAATCTTCTTGTTGATTTTCATGGTTATAGATTAAACAGTAGGTTGAAGAACGTTCAAAGTTAGGTCTGCATGAATCAATACTGTTTACATAGGATTGAGTTGAGTTAGGACAAATTTTTTTGGGGGGACAGGATTCCGATAATTATTCTTTCATCTGATGAACTCTTGTTATGCATATTAACTGGTGTTTTTTTTTCATGCCACATTTGTGTAATGGAATTGCTCTGCTTTTGAATTTGGCATTGTCCATTGTTAAGATAAGGGATTTTTATGATTATTAAAATTTTTGCAGGACAGTTAAAGTAACCTTCATTAAAAAGTGGGATGAGAGTAAAATGAAATATTAGTCAAACTTAATAGATTTGTCAAAATACGTTGAGAATATATGGTAGGAAAAAAATGTCTGTAAAATGGATCAAACTATATGATGTATTTGTGTCATTAATAATTAAGGCTAAATGAGGTGTATAGTAAATCTGAGCTGGCTTTGCTTTGGTAACAGTACTTTAACACTAAATAATGCTAATAGCATTTTGGGTTCTTCTGTTTGTGGAAGCTAAAGTCCGTTTAGCTTACAGAATGTCTGCGATCCTTGACCCTGCTTGTGCCTGAAATAATTTATGTAATTCATGACAGGGATCCTGAGGTCTTCTTCTAAGTTCCATAAATAAAGCTGGAAAGTCTCCAGTGTTGATGCTGCTCCACATTACAGTATTTTGATATTGAAACTGGCAAGGTTCTGAAACAATGTCATCATTGGCCAAGTGTCTGTTTACAAACATTTGTTCATACAGAAAATGAAAACCTAACTTGCACAGATGATGGTCAATGCCGATCTTAAAGATTCAAGTAAAGCTTTGGCATTTTCTTTCCAAGTGGTTCTTTTTTTTGGCACAAAGGTTTGTGTTTAAAGGTTTTACCTGTTTTGGCAAATAAAGTGTTGCAACAGCTGTATTTTTATTTTAATTGAATTGTTGGCCTGCCTTTTTTGACAATACAATTTGTGCAAAATGTATAATTTTAGGCTCACGGTGATGTGTTTTCATTTTACCTAAAAACAACATTAAAAACCACTTAAATATCTCACACATGTAAATGTAAAAAAAATGGATAATTTTGGAGGGCTTATTTTGTGATTTATACCACCTGTAAAATAAGACTGTTTGATAATTATTTCTGTGCAAAACCTATATTATATTTATATATATATGTACTTGTATGTGTTATTTTAGGTTTGTTTACTTTCGCTACTGGAAAAATGAGTGGGCAATGGCTAATATATAATACACAAGAAATAATTTATAGCTATGGATATAAAAGTGACTCCAATATTGTATAAACTAGTGTATTATTAGGCCTCATGTGCATTATTGCAAGTCATTCCACAACACTAATTATAGGCATAATAAAGTTAATATAAACCTATAATGACCAAGTAAGGTCATATTTAATCCAGTAAATTCTGTCTCTTCTACTTAAGTGCTTGAAATAAACATATGATATAGCACTATTAAAAGAGTTACCTAAACTTATTTCTGGACACACTTTCTGTACAGACACCCTGTTCAATCTTGACTTAGAGTAGCAATCTATCAATTAATTATTAATTAATCAATCAATCAGTAATAAATTGGTAAAATAATGGACTCATAAATGAATTCATAAATGAATGAATGAATAATTGAATGAATGAATAAATGATTGAATGAGGATGGATAGAGGGAGGGAGGCAGGGAGTGCGAATGAATAATGAATGAATTTGTAAATAATTAATGAATCAAATAAATCTTTGAATGAATTAATTAATCAATGAATTAATTAATGAATCAACGAAGAGGTATTTTACAATAGAATATTTAAAACATATTTCTTAGCACAAAGGGACTCCTTTAGATTATGGTATTTATTGTGCTTCAGTTCTTGACATTGTGTCATCTTTTCTGTTTTCAGTTGGTGGGTGGAGAGTTCGAGATTGAGACGAATTTTGTTATACAAGATCCTCAGAATATATTGCAGATGCTGACTGCTTTAGAACAATGCCCAGATAATCTACAGGTAAATGCAATGTTTAGACTTTTAATATAGTATAAGGGTCAGTTCATTTAAATTAGTTTAGTAAGTTAATTTCTGTTAATTTACAATGATTTAAACTTATGAAATTTCATCCATGGACAAACTTGTTTTGGTGTCCCTATGCATATTAGGAAACCCTTTAAATTTTGAAATTTTGTGTTTAAAAAAAAATATTTCGGTTGAGAATTTCCCAAAAATAACCAAATTTTACCCCCAAAAGGGGGCCCGATTTAATTTTTATTTTTCAAAATTTTTAAGTAATTTTTTGCCCAATAAAAAATTTTTGCCTGTGGGATTTTAAAGAAAAAAAAATCTTCTCTTGAAGTTCTACGAATAATGTGGTGCAAAAAAAATAAAAGCAAAGGGAAAAAATTTTGGGGATATTAAATATTAAATTTAAACGTTTTTCATTTAAAAATTTTTATTTTTAATTTTTTAAAAAGGTGAAATTTTGGGGTGTGTTTTTTGGGGATGTTGAAGAAGCAGACGTAACCCAAGGCCCTGTACGAGGTTGGGGCTCTTCCAAAGTTATGGACCTGCTACTGAAAGCTGAAGAAGTTGTTGCAGGTATGTGTGTATTATTTCATGTGAGTTGTGACCACATGCTTAAAATGTCTGCCACTTAGGGCAGTGCGTATTATACCCTCTCTTGTCAAGGATTATCATCAAATGAATTAGATGTTTTAGATGTGAGTGATGACTGAAAATAGAAAAAAAAATTATAAGAGGCACAAAACAAGGTTTAAGTTAGTGTCATTACAAAAATGTTAAAAGTTTTGCATTTATATTAAAAGTATATTTTTCACATAGTCCACACTGACTTTTTGGTTCAGTATGTAGCTCTTAGGTATATATTTACATTTTAAGCTTTAAATTTTCAAACACCATACATGTAAATATGAATACTAAGAAGTGAATTCCAGTATAAATTTTAAGATGTATTGTTTCATTAGAAAACACTATGTTTCGACTCAAAAGTCATCAAGTATAGTTCCTTATATGAAATAAACAGTGTAATTTATGTACTAATTATCAAACTTTAATATGTTTCAGATTTGTTGGTTGATTTGTTGGGTGCCCTGGCAGCTTACAGCATTACTGTAAAAGAGTTACGCCAGCTGTTCCGGTACCTGAAGGCAGATGAGGGAACATGGGTACTATATTCACTTTTTTTACATCAACCCCAATACTTGATACTTATTTTGAGAAGTAGGAGAGTGTCCGTCCTCAAGGCCAAATTATGACTATTGCCTGATTGCTGTTGGTTCAAGGTGCACTACCCGGTGTCAAAATCTCCCATTTTTAGAGATCATCTAATGAAGAGGTTTTCCTGAGGTGTTTTCTTGAACACAAAATGATGCATGATGGAACATGTTTGGTCTTTTTCTGCTGCAAGGCTAAAATATTATCATTTTGTCCATGATGAATTTTGTGTTCCTTAAAAACAAACAGGAAAAAAAATGATGATATTGTATAAAAAAGATACCATATAAATAAAATTTATGTCCAGTCATAATAAATTTTTTTGAAGTATTTGATGACCTTCTGTTATTTAGTGTTTTTTTCAGTCTTGTTCTTTCATTTTGTATTTTAATATTCTTAGGAAAATTAATTTTCAACAATCTCAGTAGTGAGATTGGAATTAATTCAGGAGTTCATATTCTAAATCAGAATTTATTTTCCTTAAAAATTCAGCTTGAATTCAATATTATGTAAAGCCATTAGCTTCCTAATCACTGATTCAAATGATTGTGATAAGGACATTTGCAAACATTCTCTGAAAAAAAAAAAGAATATGCTCACATTGGAACAGAACTATGGAAGAGCCAGTCTGCATTGTTTTAAGTTTTATATTGTTATATTTATATTTTCAGCCACGTCACTCGGTCAAGTTGATCTCAGTACTGAAACAGATGCCACAGAGACAAGGTCCTGATGAATTCTTCAGCTTTCCTGGAAAAAAGGGATCTGTAAGTGTATATATTTCTGTATATTTCATCATTAAATATAAGATTTCTATTTGTGAAATATATACTATCTTTTCACTGGATAAACATGTATTATTTACATCAAATTGAATGATATACTGAATTTTCAAATTCAGTTATATACTGAATTTCATCTGTGAAATATATTTTTTTATTTTCTCACTTGATAAAAGTGTATGTGTTGCGTCAAAGTCAAAGAAATATAACATCATATCAGTGAAATATATTCAATATCATAACTGTGTATTAACTCTTTGTGAAAACTTAGATTCTTCTTTAAAATAACATGAAATAGTTGTTCATGAACAAGACTCAAATACATGTAATAGAAAGAGCACCGAAACACGAGGCTATCTGATTTGTACGAGGGGGCGTAGCCCCCGAGTATTAATCAGATTGCTGAGTGTTTGGTGTTCTTTCTCTTTTGTATCATAGTCAAACATAAAAGCACGTTCCCTGTTGTCACAATATGAAACCCCGGCAAAAATGAACCAATGAACGAACATCTGAATATGATATTTCTGTCGCTTACCCTTTCTCTGCCGTCACAATATGTAAACCCCAGCAAAAATGAGCCAATCAATGGGAATGCTCTGGAGTGCGGGTAACTAATACCCGCACTCCAGTTAACGCACTGTGCATGTATATGTATACGATTTAACCCTGACACATTTTCAACAGAAAGGTCCTCAAACTATGATACAAGTATATCTTTAGTTAGAAATACATTTTATTAAATACGGACATTTCTCATTTAACAATGAAATGCATTCTTCTGAAAATTGTCAGAATTTCTTTCAATTTTGTGCTATTGCAATGTAAAATAAGGTTTACTGACCTTCCATTTTAAATAGCTATTTTACATTCAGAGCAGAAAAAGTGGGAGGTTTCTTACACATGAAAATAAGAAACAACCGTAACTTGAGACTATTGAGACTATAGAAAATCCCATATTAAGATAATACTGTGAACTTGTAATATGTTATTCCTGTGATATATCAAGGTGACAGTAGATCAAAGGCAGTCTGTAAATCATAGCCTTTATCAGGACATTTATCTTGTATTTAACACAGGACAATATATCTAAGATCTGTTGGTGGTCGTCTGCTGCTTTAATAGGGGGAAAATAAAAAAACTATGTTTTACTGATATTTCTTATATCAGATGTTCTACAGAAGGCTGTTACAGTTCTATGGATGATAGAATTGGGCCTTTTTTTTTGGTCAGCCTGCTAAACTTATTTAGTAGAGGGGCTTGTAATGCAGGGACGGCTGGTGAGATCGTTGGGTTACATGTAATAGCTCTTACAATTGATCTTGGACAATGACTCTAAAAGTTTATTTGTCTGTCACGGCTAATTCAGAAATCATGTAGGATTAGTAAGAAATCAGTACCGCAATTACTGGCTTGGTATCCAGGAAAGCTGGTAAGGACGGTAAACTTACCGTCAATAAATGACCAAAAATTTGCTAAATATGCTAATAGTCTATATTTTGTTCTTGCAACTTCCTGTTCACATACTATTTCTCATAGCACATTCCGAGGGTTGACCGCAAAACTGTTGTAAGTCCTTCCTCTTTACGTATCAGTTACTACTTGTACAGGTCATCCCTCGAAAATCTTTAAGCAAGGTATCTAGGTAGATATTTCTGGATAATTGGTTCAATGTCAAAGTCACTGAGGCTGAAAATAGATTTTCATACTTTTCTTTTCTTTTGTTGGTGATATCTAGGAATGTTCATTATAAATCATGATAAAATTACTTCTGTGAAAAGGAGTTATTCTTCAATGCCAAACTGGTTGTATTTTATGACTTTCCAAGTCGGGAAATAAATTTTTGATATTTATTCTTTTTCTTAGAAACATATGAAAAGCACAGTTCCTTTCATTTAATACCAGTATTTAGCGCTCATTATTCTAACACATTTTCCCAAATTTTACTGATGTTTGTTGTAGTCCCAAAATAATGAATAAATGCTGTGTAATGAGTAAAGAGCAAGCAGCAAAATTACAGTGATGAACACTAAAGTGTATTATTGATTGTATAGGGGAAAAAGTGATTATACCTTTAAACAAGTGGTTCTTTTTTTCATCATTCCTTTCCTAGAATATACATGTATACTATTGCATGCCTACATGCAAAGCTTATGTACTTTGGTTTTCTGATGTCATGATTTTAATGATGTGCTTGTTTTGTGTGACAATGGTAATCCCCAGAGATTTGTCAAGCCTTGGTTGAAGTATAAATAATATCAAAAATTATAAATATCTTTCCCTTTGAAAAATTTCCTAGAATTTTTTTTTTGATATCTGTCATCAATGTTTTGTCTGAAACTTGAAGAGAAAAAGTACTTAAACAGGTTTCTGGTGGTAAAAATAATGTTTTCCCTTGGGATATATTTTTCTTTGAGTTTGTTCATTGTGATAATTTCCTTAGAGTTAAGAAAGACTTCTTGTACTTTCTTCTTAAGGATTGATAATTTTTTTGGATTGATCATTCCTAAGGGTTGAAAATTTCTTATAGGTGGGTAATTCTTTTTGGGTTCTTTGGCATTGATAATTGAATTGGGTTAAATAAATCCTTTGACATTTATAATTATTTGGGGTTGATAATTTCATTTAGGCGGATAAATGTGGTTATTCCTTTTGGGTTATAATTTATTTGATATTGTCTTTTGAATGAAACTACCATACACACCCAATTTTGATTGTGTGGATTTGCAAGTCCAATTATTTTCGATGGATGGTTGAAAAAACACATTAGTATTCATCCGTTCACATTACAGTTAATTTCTGAGACCAATATATTTAAGCACCTCCTTGGAAGAAGATTGATTTTGTTTAGGTGTGGGAGATCAGACTTGAGACAATAGCTTTTAATCATTTACTGACCTTTCATTGCTGTAGACAATCTTTTAACTGGTGTCTTTTTATCACGACATCACCCATTTACTTGTATTTTCTGCTATACAAAGTTATTGGGTCAGAGCTTGATGTGTTAGCATTCTATATAGAAGTAACAGACTTAATATACAAAATAATTTTGAAAATTACATGATGGTTTGTCAATTATTTAATTTCTGTATGGCCGATATTTTCTTTCGAGGAATGAAACTTATCCTATCATGCTATTGTACAAATTACAAAGAAAATTTATTGGCATGGTAAATGTACCTTTCCCACATGTATTGTTTGATTTTATTGATGAAGAAAGACTTGAAAGGACCTACTAGGCATAATTAATATTTAATATCCCTATAAGCAGTGTATTTATATGCTATCAGTTAGCAGCTAAGTCAATTCTTATATCTCTATTGTTTGACTTGATTTTATGCTGACAGAAGTTTTAATTAATTACTTTGATATTTTTATTCTAGAATCTTACTGTTGACCACTATGAAATTAATTGTGACCTTAAATACAGACTATTCTGAATTTTTTTTTGAATTACACTGAAACAAATTATTGACCACTCTAAAATTTACTGTGGACCACTCTAAAAATTATTGTAGACCACTACCAATTTTATTGTGGACAACTCTAAAAATCTATTATTTACCACTCTAAAATTTATAGGGGATCCATTAAAAAAATTAAACTGTGATATTTTTTCCCAGAAATATATTGTGGACAACTCTAAAATTTATTGTTTACCACCCTAAAATTTGTAGGGGAGTCTTTAAAAAGTTATACTTTTCCCATTTCTTTCCCAAAGGGAAAATTGTATTTTTTGACCTTCTGAATTTTTTTGAAATTTAATTGTAAACCCCCACTTTAAAATTTATTTTTTTAGCAACCCCAAAATTTAAAAACCCAAACCAAGTAAAATTTTCAAAATTTTCATTTTTAAAAAAGATTTAATTTATGATTAACTTTAAAATGTTCGGGTTTTACAGTGTTTTAACATGTCTCTGTAAAGACAGGGCCGTACCAGAAATTTTTGGACATTTTCTTGCTGGTTGGGGACGGGATCCTTTTCCCGGGGGGAAAACCCTGGAGAGAGAGAGCCCTTTTTATTTATTCGGGGTAAAGTTAAAAAATTAAAATTCCCTTGTTTTTTTGTTCAGTTTTTGTTAAACCAAGGCCCCTAATATGCAACTAGTTATTACAATCTATTGAACTGAAAAATAACGGTCATAAAAAAAAGCAGCTAATATCACATATATATGAATACAATTATGACTAGGTAAAATAAACAAATAAAAATTTAATCAACACTCATTGACAGTGAAACAAACAGGAAAAGGAACAAATTGAATTTGAATTAATTTTTTTTCATACCTCAAAGTGGTTCAAATTGTGCTCAGTGATTATTATTATTAGTTGGGTCATAATAGAATGGGATTAGTGGCAGGAGATTAGAAAAGAAGGCATAGATCTTTCATTAGTTATATTCTCCTACAGTGCACATTTCTCAAAGAATATTATTTTCTTCAACAGTGAACATTAATTAATCTTATAATTTGAAAGAAATTTGCGTTTAATTTTAGTTTTTAATTTGAAAATTTTTCATTTTCCCAAAAACCCAAAAAGGTTTTAGGATATTGGGGCCCTTTTTTCCTTGAAAACTCTCTGGTAATAACATCAATAAAAGTAAAGGGGGTTAAATTTCCAGACTTTTGTAAAAGGGGTTCCTACCCAAAAAGGTACCAAAAATTGGGAATAAGCTAAAAATTAAATATTCTGAAAAATTAAAGCTTTTCCCCTTTTGGGTTAAAAACGGGGAATTTTAAATTATGAAATTTTTTTGTCTTTTTATAAAATGTTTTATTTTGGGGCCAGAATTTAATATTTTTTTCTTTTTTGGGCATTTTGAAATTTCTTAGTATATTATTCCCAAAAAATAAAAACTGAAAATTTAAATTTTTCCAGTCTCTTTTTTGTGGTTTTAAAAAAACTCTTTTGGGGAATAACACCAGTTAGAAAATTTTGTTACTTTTTTTTAAAACTCTACACACTAAGGTTTAAAAGTTTTTGGTTTAAAAAAAATCTTTAAATTCCGTAAAACATTCGGTTGAAAAAATTGACAAAAAAGGGGAAGGGTTTAGGGACATACTCTGGGTTTTCGGGTTGATTTTCTTACTTTCATTTTTTTTCCCCAAAAGAAAACCCCATATCAAATTTTGAGAGTATTAATATTATTTTTTTTTTTTATTTGGGAAAATTTTTTGTAAAGGTTTATTGTTTAAAGGAGACTTTTTTCCCCCCTCCTGGTTATTGAAATTTAAACCTATTTTAATTTTTAAACTAATTAGTATAACCGGGTTTTCGCTTACGGATCTAATTATTTTCCTCTTCAAACACCCTTTTAATTAAATTTAAATTTTTGCTATTTTTTTGCGAAACAAAATGACGGGTTTGTTTTTTGGGAAATTTTGCAGTGAATTTTCATTTGTTCATGTTCTTTTGGGGGGTTTTGGGGTTCATTTTTTTTGGGGGTTTGGGAAGCCAACCCCCAAAATTTAAAACGGGCAAATTTTAAGGGGCTTTTACAGAGCTTTTGACGGCCTTTTCAAAATCTTTTTTTAAACAAGTAAGTAGCAACACCCTTTCACTTAAATTTTTTTGAAGAAGTTTTTACTTTGCATTTCAGTAAAACAACATAGACATTTTTAAAACTAAGGGAAGAAAATACTTTAAAAATTTAAATTCCGAGCTTGATGTCTTTAAATTTGTTTTTATTTTTATTGATTTTAATTTTCCAATCAAAAAGAAAGTAGGGGAAAAAAGGGGGAGTTTTTTTTTGGGGAACTAGCACATCTTTAGTGAAATATTCACACTGTAGTGAGAATCGGATGATGAAATCACCACCCTATTTCATACTGTGATTTTGGGTTATTGCCCCTTTGGTAGTAATCCCTTAAGTATCATTGTACCAAAACAAAATTAAGCAGCCAGCGATTGCCTTATCAGACTGTATAAATAAATATCAGGACTGGCTTTATATATATAACAAAGATATGTGACAAGCTATTCTACGACTCACAGTGTTAATGTCCAAAATGGCGGTAAAATTTCTCATAGTGTTTGTGAACAAAATGACGATTAAATTTCTTTGTCTTACAAAACATTAAACTTAGATTTATATTCTAGTGATATTTGTTTATATCTCTTGTACATGTATTTTATTTCAGTGGTATATGGTGAGCATAGTACATGTATATAACCGATGGAGTAAATCAGAAATCAGATGTTCGTAGATGGGAAAATTTTGGCCCTCGGTCCCAAAATTGTTTGGCTTTTTAAGCCCCTTTTGAGGGAAATATATATTAATTTTGGGTTTTTAAAGGTTAATTGTCTTGTGGGGTGGGGGATTACCCCCTGGGGTGTTGGTGGCATGGGGGGGGTTCAGGGCGTCAGACTAATAATCTAAAATGATCTCTAGCTGTTTTGGGGCAAACCCCCTCATGGGGCAACCCCTGTTTTTTGGGAAAAACCCCTTATTTTTTAACCCAAACTTTAAAATTAAATTCCCTTAAAAGTACTGGCTGGTTCCAAGAAAAAAACTAAAAAATTTGGGTCTATAACTTAAAAAGGTTCCTTTTTAAAATTTTCCCTTTAAACCTCAAAAAATAATTTTTTGGTTTTAAAACCTTATTTTTCTGGGGTTGATAAAAGGGTTTTAAAATATATTTTTGCTTTTATTTAGAATAGAACTAACAAAAATTCTGAATTAAATTTATCACCAACATTAGGGAAAAAAAAAACAAAACAACCTACAAGCTTTTCCATTTTTAATTTTAAAAACCCTAAACCCTTTTCTGTTCTAAAAATACATTTGGGCCCAAGATTTAATTTTTTTTAAATTTTTTAGGGATATAAAGGGATGAAAATTTAAAGTTTTTTTAGCAACAATTTTAGAGTCTGGAAAGGGCCCAGAACCACATAAATTTGCAGGCTAAACCTTTTTTCTTTACTGGTTGCAAAGGCAAATTTTTTTTTCCCTTTATTGACGGTGCCCCATGGCGAGGGGTTTAAGGTTGTTGTCTTCGTACTATTTGGCCCCCTCCCCTTTTTGGGTTTGGAATTTTCGGGGAAGCTATTCGCTAGTTTAAAAGGGGAAACTTTGGGTGGTTCTACTCAGGTGCCTGTTAGTGCCTGAATTAAAGAGATCTTCCGTTAGTGCCTGAAATAGAGAGAGTTACTTTACTTCAGCCTTTTAGCGCAGGAAAGTGCCGAATATAGGGGGAAACATAGTGACTATACTGTGTTGATCTGCGTCATAAAAAGTAACCCCAAACAATTCTCCACCCCCCCCGCCCCCCCCAAAAAAAAAACACCCCAAAACACTTTCAGTTTGACAGGTGTTAATAATTGAATGGAATAAAAATTATCATGATTTCATTATTTATATTTTCAGCCATTTGACAAGTGTTATATTGGAGGAAGCTCACAGAGGGGACGTAGATAGATATGTTTAGTGGGGGCAGTTTTATCTGCCTTTGTTTTGTTTAGTGAAGGCATTATCACCACCAACAGATGCTCCCTATACCATGAACTTGGGACCAAAGCTATAAGGTGAAATATACTAACCAGTAATAAATGAAATATAATATTTCATCAGTGAGATATAGCATGAGATATACAATTTGTGTCTTGTCTCTGAAATAATGGACAGGGTGGTGTCGTAGCTGAGTGGTTAGCGCGTCAAACTTGTAATCAAAGGATTGCTGGCCACATGGGTTCAAACCCTGTCAGTGGCAAGCCGTTGTTTCCATGATGATGAGCAAGAAACTTTACACTCATTGCTTAGTACTGGTTGGTTCCAGGAACAGATTCCAGAGTATTTCAATAAGCTTATAGCTTCCAAACAATAAAATTTTAAAATATCAATCAAATTGAAAATATTAAAACTGAAATTGAAACAACAAAAAAGCAACTTAAACCAAAACCAAAATACAAAAACTTATTTGTAGTAAAGGGTAGAAACATTTTGGGGAACCCCTGATAATTTTTCCCATGAAATAGCTAGTATAAAACAATTTTGTCGTTTTAAAACCCCCGTTAAGAGGTTTTAAGGTTTTTATCCCCCCCTCCCCCCTTAACAGTTTAAAAATTCATGTTTTTTTTCTTATTTTTCATAGCCCCCCGGGACATTTAAATTTTTAACTAGTTCTGTATTTCTCAAAAAAATCTCTAGAAAAGCTTTCCCATTTTTAAGGATTTTGTTTTATTTGACAATTTCCCCTTATTGCTCTTTTTTTCCCCCCTCAAAACATTGTAACAATTTTAAAAATTTATTTATTGGATAAAATTAGAAAGTGCCCAAATTTAAAGACGAAATTTATTTTTTTTTTTAGGCTTTTTGGTTTTTGTGTTTAAAAGGTTCAGCTTTTTTTGTTAAATTCCCAAAACATGTAAATTTAAATTTTCCCTTTTGGAAAAGGGTTTTTTTTTAAGGAAAATTAAAATAAAATGATCCCTTTAAAGAGTTTTTTTTTTTTTGTTATGGGAGGGTGAAAACAGAAAAAATTTTATTTTTCAGTTTTACATTTAAACCCTTGTTTTTTCCCAAAAATTTTGGGGCTTTTGCTTTTAGAGTTAATATGAAAAAAAAATATTTTTTTTTTGGTTTTTTATTTAGGAAAAAAAGAAGTTCCCCTTGGAAAAATACACTGTCTTTAAAGTAAATAATGGATTTTGTTTTTTAATTTTTTCTGGGATTTTCCCTGAAAATGTAAAACAAAAAGCAAGTTTCCCTTTCCCCGAAAAATTTTTTTGAAAAGACTTTATGCATTATTTACCATTTGACCTGAAAACTGCTAAATTTCTTAAAAAGTTTAAAAAAGCTATGTTTGTAGTTTTTTAAAAAATTCGTTTTTAAATTTTTTTAAAAGGGAAAAATTCTTTTATTTCCGTTTTTAAAAAAAATAGTTTAGGAAGCAAATGATTTGGTTTCATAAAAACTTTGTTAAATATCGTTCTGGTTTCTAAAAAAAAATAAACCGCTTTTTTAATATTTTTTGTTTTTTTTATTTGATGCGGCAAATTTAAAATTTTTGATTAGACCCGTTTTCGAAACCCAACCAAAAGTAACCCTAAGGGTTTATTTAACCCCTTATTTTTTTATTGCAAATTCCCTTTTTTCCCCAAACAATTCTTTTGCTTTTGCGAAAAAAACAAAAGTGGTTCTTTGGGCCATTTAAAAAAAAAAAATTTTAATAAAAAATTATTTTAAAAATTTCCTATTATAAATGTAAAATTCAAAAATTTCACCCAAAATAAGTCCCGGCCCAAAAACATTTAGGTGCCTGCGTTCATATGACGTCATTCCCCCGGGAAAAGATTAAATGAGTTTGTACTTTTTTTAGGAGGTTGTGTACTTTTTAAACATCTTTGTTGACATAATTTTCCCAATATTTATAATTCAAAATAAAGTTTTTTTTTTATTTAATTTAAATTTTTTTGTATTAAAATGATTATATTGGGAATTTCAAAAATTAGTAAATCACCTTTTTTTAAAATATTTAGAAAAAATAATTTATTTAAAAAAGTTGGAAAGGGACATGGGTTGTAAAGGTCAAATCTTTGTAATCCCGGGGAAACAAAAAATTTTTTTGGGAATTGGGGGCAAGTGTTTTAAATTTTTTTCCCTGAAGAAAATATTAGGGAGTTTTTGTTTCATACAAAAGATTTTTTTGTCCATCCCTTTTGGCTCCCTTTAACAGATTAAATATAGTTTTTTCAAGGGGATTTTTCCCCTTTACTTCTGGCATGTTCATTTTGAAAGAATACCCCAGCCCCTAAAAGAAATTTCTGGATGATTATTGGTGACTTTCCCTTTCGGGGGCTTTTCTTCAGTGTTCATCATGTCATACTATATAAAAAGAGTACGCCCGAAAAACCTTAAGCTATTGTTAGTGTAAAGTATTTCAATTTAAAATTTTGGGTTTGTTAAAATTTGTAGAGTCAGTTTCGGTTTTTCCCAAAAAGAGAGTCAAGTAAGATTTTTCAGAGATCAAAACAGGGTTTAAGGGTTGTTGGTTTGTTTATTTTTTACTGAAAATTTAAATTTTGTCAAAAGGGTTTTATTTACAAAACAAGAAAAGTTTTTTTTGTTTTTAACTGATAGAAAATAGCCGGGAACTAAATTTTTAAATTTCATATTTTTTATTTTTATTGTTCTAAAAGACTTAAAAAATGTGTTTGTATCAATGGTATTTCAGAAACTAATTTAGTGGGTTATTTTATAGAAAAGTTGATATTTTAGCTAGGTTATATGAAATTAGATTGTCTCATTTAAGGACAGTTTGTGATGTAAAATGAAAGTTTAAGTTATGTGAGAACTGTCAAAAAGTGTTTATCATATTATCAACATGTATTTTCATATCATATTCAATGTAATAATAACAATATTTTTATATTTCAATTTTGAAAAAAGAAGTTCAGCCTTATAAGACTGCCAAATGGACTTGACATATTTTTTTGTGTGTGCAGCTTTTACTATTTCAATGTATTTTATAATTTTAATATTTATTTTTTTATTTTTCAGTTATTGTATGATGGAAAGTTGACAACTCTGATAGTGTTTATGTACAACCCGATAGCATGTGATGGTCAGCTGTGCCTGGAATCCTCACCTAAAGGCAATGTCAACCATTTCCAGCATTCACCACATGCCATGATGTCAGGGGTAAGTTGTGATCCGTCTAATTTGTTATAACTGTGTTTTTTGTCCATTAATGTCAGTTAAAGATACTTGGTTATAATACAAATTGAGAGTTATTTTGTGTCAGAAATCAAAAGTTTGAAATTGTAACTTAACCATTTCACCTTTCCAGGTAATGTTAGGGGAGGGGCATCTTCGGTCATCGTCTGCACCAGTAAAGCTGGAAAATTGCCTGAATAGTATATGAACTTAAAGTATATGTTTGACTAAAAACTTGCACCTACTCCTCATCCCTTCAGAGAAAAAGCAATAAATCTTTCAGTGCCTACAGGATTACTTATATTCCCGTACACTGTCGCATTTATCTTTTCTGTATACCTTTATGAATTGACCTTATAGCTTGAATATTCGTTATGGTGTTGCGGTAACCCTAGCAACCCTTGGGTGTGGTTTCAGATTGAAGGGGTCAAGGTGACCATGGCTAAAATTAGATTTCCCTAATTTTATTTTTAGAACGAGGCAAGGCTTTGACTGACTGAAGCATAGAATAATCCATTGTTGTACAGATGTACTTGTTTGACATTAATTAGATTTGTGTATTTCTTAAAAATTTCCCTGTCAGAGATACTTTATCTTTACAATAAAGTGGCATAAACTATTAATCTTTGACAATATCAACATTATTTAAATAACACTGCAAAGAAAGTTTTACAAAGGCCTTGAGACTCATGTTTTGTGCAAAACTTCTCATTTGTTTGTTCACTTTGAGGAATTAACTTTTTAAGTCTGTGACCCACAAATGTTCTTTAAAACCAAAATGATTAAAATGTATTTCAGATTATTTTGCCATTATTTTATTAGAGAAAGGAAAGTACAGGACATTGTTCTATAGTTTTTTTAATGAAACAACACATTTGTTTTTGTATTTACAGGAGGTGAAGTCAGTGATTACACATTCCATCCATAGCACGTTACATTCCTTAGGAGGCGTACAGGTATCTTAATAAATATTGTTTACCTATGTTTAAAAGGTGAAAAGCTGAAAATTTAAATTCATGAACTTTACATTATTTCATTTTCATTTTTCATTTTATGAACATATAACTAAATCTTTATTGTTATGCTTCCTTCACTGTGAGCTTGGTAGAAATGAAACTTCTATAAAAAAAAATTGTGAATTGAAACCATTTCCAATAAACATTAATATTAACTAAGTTTTTCTTGGCATTGAAACAAGGGAGACAATTCTGAATCCACTTTCTGTCCATGAGAAGGAAGACGACTGTGTATAAAAAATTTTAGTATTCCAAAAATGATTATTTCCCTTTAAATATTACTTGAGGTATCATTGAAAGAAAAAAAGACACTATTGTAAATATAAAAAAACCATATTATCTTGAAACTTGTTTTGGAAAATGATTTACATTGTAAAGGTACTGTTAATTTCAGATATTGTTCCCGTTGTTTGGTCAGCTAGATTTACCAGTTGCTCAGGGAGACGAGAAACCGTCTGTCACAGATCATTCTACATGGTAAGCCAATCAGCAAGCTTGTTATATATGTGTAGTATAAGCTGGAATGTATATATTATATTTACCTGCCTATAAGTCATTTAGTCTATAAGTCGCGGGTCTATATTTTACTAAAAATGCTTTGACGAGTATAAATATATATCTGTGGACTAAAGATACCCATGTTTAATGCAAGGTATGTAGTGTAACCCTATAAATTGAAATAAGATTTAAGTCTTACAGGTGGGTTAGAATGGCATTTGTCAAAATTGCACTTGGAATGATCAAGAGAATGATATGAGCCGCGTCATGACAAAACCAACATAATGGGTTTGCGACCAGCATGGATCCAGACCAGCCTGTGCATCCCCGCAGTCTGATCAGGATCCATGCTGTTCACTTACAAACTCTATAACAAGTAGAGAAACTGACAGCAAACAGCATGGATCCTGATCAGACTGCATGGATGCGCAGGCTTGTCTGGATCCATGTTGGTCACAAACGCATTATGTTGGTTTTGTCATGACGTGGCTCATATTATTATGAAATGCTGAAAAAAAAATCTTGTTTCTGTATTGCCTTTTGCAAAAAGGCCTTTTCAGCTCCCCTTAGCTAACGGATTGTTAAGTTACTCATATTTCATCTACTGTTGCTCGTCTATACAAGTTTCATTTATGTAATTTCATGTTTAAAACCAAAATTGCATGACATTGGTTGTAATTTTAGTTCAGGCAAGCGATAAAAGGACTATCATGGCTCTCTTGTTTTTATGCCACCGCAGCATCTGCGATGCGGTGGCATATAGCGATTCACCTGTGTGTGTGTTTGTGCGTGTGTTTGTGTGTGTGTTATATAGATTATATAGTGAACTTAAAAAATCTTCTTGTGAAAAACTACTAGTCCAATTTCAACCAAACTTGGCAGGATTGATCCTTGGGTGAAGGGCTTCCAAAGTTGTTCAAAGAATTTCATTCCATGCAGAAATCTGGTTGCCATGGCAACCAAAAGGAATTATAAGAATAAATTTAAAAAATCTTCTTGTAAAGACCCAAATAGCCTAGAGCATAGATATTTTGCATAAGACATCGTCTGGTAGACCTCTAACAAGATTGTTCAAATTATAGCCCTGGGGTCAAAATTGGCCCCGCCCCGGGGGTCATTGATTTTCACTATATGTACATATAGTAAAAACTTAAAATACCTTCTTGTAAAGACCCAAAAGGTCTAGAGCTTAGATATTTTGCATAAGGCATTGTCTGGTAGACCCTTACCAAGAATGTTCAAATTATAGCCTTGGGGTCAAAATTGGCCCCGGCCTGGGGTCATTGATTTTCACTATATGTACATATAGTAAAAACTTAAAATACCTTCTTGTAAAGACCCAAAAGGCCTAGAGCTTAGATATTTTGCATAAGGCATTGTCTGGTAGACCTTTACCAAGATTGTTCAAATTATAGCCTTGGGGTCAAAATTGGCCCCGCTCCTGGGGTCATTGATTTTCACTATATGTACATATAGTAAAAACTTAAAATACCTTCTTGTAAAGACCCAAAAGGCCTAGAGCTTAGATATTTTGCATTAGGCATTGTCTGGTAGACCTCTACCCAGATTGTTCAAATTATAGCCCTTGGGTCAAAATCGGCCCCGCTCCGGGGGTCATTGTGTTTCCTTATATGTATATAGTAAAAACATATAGTAAAAACTTTAAAAAAATCTTCTAGCAATTGACAAATGCTAGAGGTTAGATATTTTGCGTGAAATATTGTAACATTGTATAGTAAACCTCTAGCAAGATTGTTCAAATTTAAGCCCTGGGGTCAAAATTGCCCCCGCCCTGGGGGTCATTGATTTCGATATATACATATAGTAAAAAATCAAAAAATCTTATTGTCTGTAGGTACAAGGCTTAGAGCTTTAATATTTGTTAAATAATATCATCTATAGGTACTCTACCAAAGTTTTTCAAATTTTGCCTCTAGTGTCAAAATTAGCCCCACCCCGGGCCATAGGTTTTCCTTATATGTATATAGTAAAAACAAAAAATCATCTTCTCTAAATTTACAAAGCCAAGAGTTAAGATATTTTGCATGAAACATTGTGTAGTGTGAACCTCTAGCAAGATTGTACAAATTATAGCCCTGGGGTCAACATTGGCCCCACCCCCAGGGGTCATTGATTTTCACTATGTACATTTAGTAAAAAAAATAAAAAAAATTCTCTTGTCTGAAGGTACAAGGCTTAGAGCTTTGATATTTTGTATATAATATCATCTATGGGTCCTCTACTAAAGTTGTTTTAATTATGCCCCTAGTGTAAAAATTGCCCTGCCCCAGAGGCAATAGTTTTCCTTATATGTATAAATTTAAAACTTGAAAAATCTTCATCTCTGAATTGACAAAGGCTAGAGGTTAATTATATGGCATGAGTTTTTGCCCAGTGAACCTCTACCAAGATTGTTCAAATTATAGCCCTTGGGTCAAAATTGGTTCCGCCCCAGGGGTCATTGATTTTCATAATGCACATATAGTGAAAAAAATAAAAAAATATTTTTGCTGAAGGTACAAGGCATAGAGCTTTGATGTTTGATATATAATATCATTTAAAGATCCTATACCAAAGTTGTTCAAATTTTTCCCCTTGTGTCAAAATTGGCCCTGCCCGGGGGCAGTGATTCTCATTATGTACACATAGTAAAAACAGAAAATAAAACAAAATGTTTTCTGAATGGGAGAAAGCTACAGCTTAGATATTTGACTTGAAATGTTGTTTGGTGGACCTGTATCAAGCTTGTTTTGAATTAAACCCTTGGGTCAAAATTTTGCCTTGCCCAAGGGGACAGTGACTTACTTTCTTGTCCTTTAATGTACAGCAATGGAATTTTGACCATGTGCACAGTTTTAGTTTTGATATCAGGTGACATAGATTTTGATGACATGACCTACTTTCTTGTCCTTTGATGTACAGCTATGAAATTTGAACCAAGCGGTGGCATAGCATTTTTCTCAAATGCAATCTTGTTTTTTCCCTTTTAGTTTTCATTGATCAGAAATAGAAGAAAAGTAGCCCAAAATAGAAAATTGTTGTGATTAATTAATTGATTTGTATTCAGTTTAAAACTCACATATTCATATTACACAAAGTTAATACACTTACACATTTTTATAATAAAAGTAAATAGATAAAATTGTATAAATTTAAGGTACTTTGATAATTTGTTAAAAATATCTGTATCACAGAATGTTCATTTAAATAACAAAAAAACAAAACAAAACAAAAAAAAATCAGAAAAAAAAAACCCATAAAATTTACAATTTAAATTAGACTAAAAGTATATCTAACTTGCGTTTGATTAGATATTAAATACATAATTATGTATCTTTTTATTGCAATCTGTGTACCCAATATCTCATAAAATGGGAAGGATTTCTTTTTAGTAGAAAAGATCATTGAAATATAAAAACAGTCCTTAGTGTTAAATAGAAGTTAGACTTTATGTTACAGCATTTTATTCAGTTTTTAAGATGTGCATGTAACAATATCTCATTGAATGAAAACTTGTATGAAAAAAACTTTTATTTTTCTAATATGTGCATTTATATTGTAATGTTTCAGTGATGATCCTATAGAAATAATTTTGTAAGTTTTTATGTCACTCCAAGTTCTCTCCCCTTCAGTTTCCCATTTTCCTTTTTCAGTTTTGCCTCATTTTTTTTCCAGAATTTTGTTTTATTTAAGAAACATTTGGTTTGCTTGCTAGTTGTTTTATTTTTTTATATTTTTTTTAAAGAATTTTTAAGATATAAGGATATTATTATGTTTATAGTAAAAAATATGATATGTCACCTCATTTGATTTATATTCGGGGAAATAACATGTGAAATGATTTATCATAGCTCAAGTTGAAATTCTTTGTATATAAGCTTGATTGTGAAGAAAGTTTTAAGTTTATTGGAACCCCTCTTAGGCCCCCTCCTGTAACAAGCCAATACTTGCGTCATATGAGACAAAATTGTTGTGAACCCAGTAGGGCTTAAACAATTGATAGGCAGGCAGACACCTTAAACCACCAAGGCACTACTACCCTGAAAGTTTTATTCAATGCTTTATACCTTAAATCCACACACAACTTCTTACTGGCCATTAAGGGTGAGAAAAGGAAAAGGAGATAAAATTTCACAAATATTTTTAAAGATCCAAGCTTACGCTGGCATGTCATAGCTATTCATTTATTTAAATTCATTTTTTTATGCTCCCCGAAAAATTTCGGGGGAGCATATAGTCGGCGCCTTGTCCGTCTGTCCGTCCTTCCGTCTGTCCGTCCGTTGTCTTGTCCGGAGCATAACTTGAAAACCCTTGGAGATAATTTGTTAAAACTTCATACAGTGGTAGAGGGCATTGAGGGGGAGTGCAGTGTCAAAGAACCATAACTCTATTTTGCCCGGTTTTTGAATTATCTGCCCTTATAGAAAAATCTTGTCCGGGGCGTAACTCTAAAACTATAATAGATATCAACATGAAACTTTGTAGGTGAATAGATCTCAATGGGTAGATGTGCAGTGCATAAGAACAATAACTCTTTTTGTTCTAATTTTGGAGTTATTGCCCTTTGTTTATTTTAACACTTTGAACTTTGTCCGGAACATAACTCTAAAACTATAAGAGATATCAAGATGAAACATTGTATGTAGATAGATCTCATTGAGTAGAGGTGCAGTGCAAAAGAACCATAACTCTGTTAAGCCTCATTTTTGAATTATCTCCCCTTTTAGAAAAATCTTGTCCAGGACATACCTGTAAAACTATAAGAGATATCAACATGAAACTTTGTAGGTAGATATATCTCAATGGGTAGATGTGCAGTGCACAAGAATCATAACTCTGCCTTGCCTAATTCTGGAGTTATTGCCCTTTGTTTATTTTTACTTTTTGAAATTGTCCGGGACATAACTCAGAAATCATATGAGATATCATCAAGAAACTTTGTAGGTTGATAGATCACATTGATTAGAAGTGCAGTGCAAAGAACAGTAACTCTGCCTTGCCTAATTTTGGAATTATTGCACTTTGAACTTTTTCCAGGGACATATAACTCTGAAACTACAAGAGGTGTACTTTCTGTGTCCAAAACCTATTCGGGGAGCATCACCCGGCTCAAACCGGGCTCTTGTTTTAGATATTTGCTAGCAGTTATTTATAAGCATAAAACAGATTTTGATGTTGTGTCCTATGTTGATAACTAGATTTTTGCAAGTGATTTAGTGTTCTATATACAATCACTGGTCTGTATCCATATATAAGCACCCACTGGTCTTTATGAATATACAAGCACTGGTCTTTATCAATATACAAGCACTGGTCTTTATTTTTTACCTAATTTTTAAACATTCACAAAATTGTAGTCAAATGCATGCCATATTATGAGAACAATTTTTTTCAGATTTTATCAGTTTTTGATTTGTGCAGGGCTGATATATGTAGTTGAAATGCTTTACTGTATAATATACACAAAAAACTTGCTATGCCTTGAATTCCCAAATGTACCTTTTTCCAATGGCTTGGTATGAATCTCCAATGTAAACATGTATGTGTTTATGTATGTATTCCCCTTCCTGTCTATATCTTACAAATGTGGCTTCACTGAATGTAGGGTTGGGTTGGAATGTATATAATATATGTATATGTATAGTCTATGCTCATGTTAAAACTTGTGTTATATGGCATTGCTTGTAAACCTTTTGTGGATTGTTTATAGTCGTGTTGGAAATTAAATATGTTCATCATTGCTTATAAAGTAACTTTTAGTTATTGTTGACATTTGCATAGCATGCTAAAGTTATGAATAACATTCGCATAGTATTCTGTCCCTTTATTTGTAAGTAATTGTTTCATTTTTATTGAGTTTAAAGGGATACTCAGGCAAAATAATGACAAAAATATAAAAATGATCTTGTGTACTGAAATCTCACTAAAATGACATTTCTTAAAGTCCCAGCATGAATTTCTGTTTCAATTCTATATATTTTGGGTTTGAATCTTTAATATATATATATATGTTGAACGAAATTTAGTCGCCAACAGAATCATAAAATAGATTAAAAACAAGTCATGTGATTTGAATAAACCCTGGAAGTTACAATAACAAATATTGTGGATATTGTATGATTGAAACAAGTCTAAGTAATTGATTTGACATGTTCTTTAACGTTTCCAGAGTACACAGTGACAATTATTGTGAAATCTTAGTGCTCTAACCTGACCCACGCGGGTCAAGTTAGGAAAACACAATTTTATTCTTTATATGGAGAAAAGTTTTGTTCCTTTGACTGTTTAGTGTATTCATTTTGAGGACAAGTACAGAATAATGAAAGAAAAATTCAAAACTAAGAAATGAAAATTTTGCCTGTGTCTCCCTTTAAAGTCAAACTTGTATGATACAAGGCACACATTCATACCTCTTTGTCATCTAAACTGATGGTGGAAAATGCGATGTTCTTTAGTATGTCTTACAGAATGTCCGTTACAGTTCTACTCAGGTGCCTGTTTGTGTCTGAAATAATGTATGGAAGGGCACCTGAGGTTTTCCTCCACCAGTAAAGCTAGAATGTTGCCATATGACCTATACTGTGTCGGTGTGATATAAAACCCAATCAATCAAATAAACAAACTTTAGTATGTATATATATCTGCATTACCCTTGACTTATTTCTATAAAAAGCCCAACCAACTGTATATGAATCAAAGAGCACATGGAACTTCAAAGTAGAGCACATCATATGAGTTTATTATTACATGTATAATACATATAAAGTTGTAAATGCATTTGAACTTCTAAATGAAAATCTGCTGTTTATATTGAACTTGCCCTGCTTTGAATTCAGACAAGGTCTGTCCTAAATTTAGACCGGTCCATTGAAAATTTTAGGAATTTCAGTTAACATAGCGTTTGGTCTTACTGGCATGGATATGTAGGGTGGAGTGGGATTTTCCTGGTGGCATTGAACTATTATAATCAATGCTAGCATTACATAGCATGAATTTTGCATGTTGAAAAGTTTCAATTTGCTGAAATTGTTTATTGATTTGCCCCGTTGTTAATTTGGCACACTCCATTTGATGTTAAAGGGATTCTAATATCAAAATACAAAATATGAGCTAGCAACAGTTTATAACCGAATCAGACTTTACAGAAGTATAGGCTGGCCTGGAACTACACTGGTGGCAATACCTGTTTGCTCTAGGTCCTGGCCTGTTACAGGTATAGGAAACACATTGTATTATGGCCAAATTTAGGCATTTTTTCATGCCCATTTAGCCAAATAAACTGCAGTAAACTGTATTATAGGAGTATTGTCTGATATGAAAATTGGTTCATAATCTAGTACATGTATCTTATTTTAGCACAACATATTTATCATTATGTTTATATTGTGGTTGAAATAAGTTTACTTAATTTCGATTGCTTTCAGTTTATTTGTTTCATAAAAATCGGACCTAAACCATTTGTATGGTATTTTCTTCATGTATTTTCAGTGCCAATCTTCTAGGTTTACTGTACAATTTGATAGAGAGTTCATACACTATACATCAACAAATGGTGCAGAATAAAGGTTTCCTAGTCATAGGTCATCTCTTAGAAAAGGTAAAGTACAAAAAATGTTCTTTATAATGTTGGGTTAGATAGTATTTGATAAATTTTGGTGAAGTAATATGTCCCTCATTAATGTGGGTTCGAATCTAGTCCTGGACATTGGATTCTTTCATGAGAAGAAGCTATCCAGCTTGCTTACAGAAAGTTGGTGGTTTTACTGAAGTGCCTGTTCATGCTTGAAGTAATGCAGGTAGGGGCACCTGAGGTATTTCCCTACCAGTAAAACTGGAAAGTTACCATATGATGGTGGAAAAGGTACAGTACAAGAATTGTCCTTAGTAACTTTCCAGTTATGAAGTATTTTATAATGTTTGACTATGTAGTATTTCATAAGTTTTAATTACACTATAGATAGACTTGAAAGGAACCTTAAATGTGGACATTCAATATATATATCATAAATGATCAATTTATAAGAACATGTATCTTGTAGGTGCACTGTATAAGAATATGTATTTTTAAGTGCATTTTATAATAATATGTATTTTTATGTGCACTTTATAATATGTAGTTTTAGGTGCACTTTATAAGAACTAGTTGTTTTAAGAGCATTTTATAATATATATTTTTACGTGCACTTTATAACAATACGTATATTTTTCGGTGCACATTAAAAAAATATGTATCTTTAGGTGCACTTTATTATAATAATAGTTATTAGTCCCCTACCGGTTTAACCGGAGGGGACTTTAGGTTTACCCTCCGTCCGTCTGTCTGTCTGTCCGTCTGTCTGTCCGTCTGTCAGTCCGTCCGTCCACAAAACTGGATCCCGCGATAACGCAAAAAGTACTGAAAATATTTTTATGAAACTTGATATATGGATAGATGGCAGTATGGAGATTATGCACGTCTTTTTTTTTTCTTCCTTTAGTCCCCTACCGGTTTAACCGGAGGGGACTTTAGGTTTACCCTCCGTCCGTCTGTCTGTCTGTCCGTCTGTCAGTCCGTCCGTCCACAAAACTGGATCCCGCGATAACGCAAAAAGTACTGAAAATATTTTTATGAAACTTGATATATGGATAGATGGCAGTATGGAGATTATGCACGTCTTTTTTTTTTCTTCCTATGTTGAAAATTCTGGTTGCTATGGCAACAAATAGCCTGAAAATATGGCAAATTTAACACATAAACTGGATCCAGTGATAACTCAAAAAGTACTGAAAATATTTCTATGAAACTTGAAATATGGGTAGATGGCAGTCTGGAGATTATGCACATCTTTTTCTTTTCTTCCTATGTTGAAAATTCTGGTTGCTATGGCAACAAATAGCCTGAATTTCAAGATTTCTGATTTAAATTTTTCAGCTTTTTCACTATATGTTCTTTATTTCTTAAGCTGTTTACTTCAAACTTTAAATATAAGTTTCTGGTCATCAACCACATCATATGTGACAAGGTTTATAACTCTAGCACAAAAAATTCAGTATTACCTCCCTTGAACTTAGATTTTTTAGGGGAAAAAATGTTGTCTTTTTTAAATAACTTCTTTATTTCCTAATGTATCTACTTCAAACTTCATATATATGTTTCTTATTATCACTCGACATTTTTGAGAAGGTTAAATACTCTAGCAAGACTATTTCCAGAATTATGTCCCCCTTGAACTTAGATTTTTTTCGAGAAACTGGTATTTTCACTCCAACTTCTTCATTCCTTATAGGATTTACTTTAAAGTCCGACATCGTAATAATATGACACGGTTGTATAAACATAATTTCCTTACTAAGCATGGAAACTTAACACATTACTGTGATATAGACAAACTTATTTTATTATGTTTTGTGGTCGATATTTTCAAATACAGACTTCATCCTCAAATTCATTATAAATGGCAATACACAGGAGTGTATGACAATTAAAGAACTTTTTGAGGGACCGGTAGGGGACTACTGTATTGCCCGCAATACTATCAAATGCTTGTTTTAGTTGCACTTTACAATAATAATGTTTTAGGCATACGTTATATCAATATTTATTTTAGGTGCACTTAATAAGAATTTTTTAGGTGCGCTAAATATATACCTTATAGGTATACTTGTTGATTTTAATCTATTTTTTCCAGTCATCTAGAGATCATGTTACTCCATCTGTGTTAGAAGTTTTCCTCAAATTGACAGATTACCTGGTAAAGTGTCCATCTGGGGGAACACTACTCAAACACTTGTTTGATCATATTCTCTTTAACCCTGCCATTTGGATACATTCTTGTATGGAGGTAAGTCTCATATAACATACTTGATGAATGCTGGTTGATCAGTGAAGGTATTTGGATGGTATAATATCTGGCAATGTATGTCATTGTTCATAGTTAAGATATTGATGGATTGATGGATTTACATACAAAAAGTTTGGCAGAGGAAAAAAAAGGTTGACGGGGGTCTGTATGCTCAGTGCCTGAAAGGGCGGATGCACCCTTAATAAACTTACAACACACACACAAAAAGGTTGACGATTCTAGAATTTGATTAAGTTTTTACCTGCTGAATTTCTTAAATGGACTTGTCCAGCTTTCATATTTGGGACTGTCCTTTGTCATAATTTGGGATGTCAAGGTTAAATTTGATTTGCAAGTTTTGGTAAGTTAAAATGAGTTACAGCAGCATTTATCTATTTTACTGTTTAAAAATGTGGGTGATTTTTTTATCTACAAGTAGAATGAATTTAATTTTATTAAAAAATACAATTGTTAATAAAGTTTAATTTAAATTATCACTTATTTGTTATACATGTATTGTCTTCTATTACAGGTGCAAACAAAATTATATTGTTACCTAGCAACTGATTTTATCAATGATGCTCAGATTTACAACAATATTCGACGTGTTAGTGCTGTGCTGCAAACCATGCATACCCTCAAATATTATTACTGGGTGATCAACCCTAAAGACAGGAGTGGTATTACACCAAAAGCTGTAGGTAGGTGTCAGACTGTAATCCTATATAAAATGGGGCCTTTTTCGAGGAATTTTCAATTTGTCTTTTTTTGTTTGTAACGAATTTTTGATGATCTTGGTGGTATGGTATGTATGAGCACTCTTTAAACAAAAATTGATGCTTAAACCAGAAAGATTGGCATAATTAGTTGGTTAAAAGTTTAATATTGTTCAGAAAAGAAGGTCTGAAATTTGACATTCATTTTGATTTTATTCTTATGATGATGCTGTTACAAAAGTGGTGAAAAATTCATAATCTGAAAATTTTAAAAATAAAGAAACATCATGGTAAAAGTGTTTTATTATTATAGTCATTACTAAAAAAAGGCTTGGTATAGTCTAAGAAATCAAGACTTTCCAAATCATTAACCCAAGCTCTCTTTGCAAGAAGATTTTACTCTATATGAAAAACCTGGTACTCTTATTGTCTGTAGCATATTTTTCTTCCTAATGGTAATTACAATAGAGCTAATTTTAAAGACAATGATATCACAGAACCATATTTATGATGTGTTTTAGATATTGTAGTAAATACTTAAATGTTATATTATATTGACAGATGGTCCTCGACCCGAGTATGATGAAATCATCAAGCTGAGGTCATTTATGCTGCTGTACATTAAACAGTTGTTACTGAAGGGTCAGGGAGTGCAGGAAGATGAACTACAGAGTATGCTGAATTATTTATGTACACTACATGAGGTAAGCACTGATGTCATGTTCAAAATTGTGTGATCTATCTATAGTGCTTTGAATTTATATCACAGAGACAATTAAAATGAATGAAACATTCAATCATTAGAAAATGAATCTAATGATCCTTTGTTGCCCTTATTACATTGGAGATAGTGCCTTAACATACATAAAACAATAATGATGTTCAGCTGCTTAAATATGAGAAGGAATAAGCCAAGTTTGTTTTACAGCTCAAATTTTTAGAACCCGTGATATCATAGGAATGGAGTACAATTATATATGACTGTGAATTTGACATTGATGTTGTGAGTTAAGATTCATGATGTATATTGTTACATATATCTGTTTAATACAGGATGATAACTTGGTAGATGTATTAGAGTTACTTGTGTCATTGATGTCAGAACATCCTCAGTCTATGGTCCCTGCCTTTGACAGGAAGCAAGGTGTTAGGTAGGTACTTTCCATATCTATTTGGAAAGCTGTTTGATGTTATAAACTCATGCTGTTCTTGTAGTATTTCATCAATTTATTAGGTTATTCCTACATGTCATGATTTTAAAATATGAGCTGCGTCATGACAAAACCAACATAATGGGTTTGCGACCAGCATGGATCCAGACCAGCCTGCGCCTCCGCGCAGTCTGATCAGGATCCATGCTGTTCGCTTACAAACAGTATAACAAGTAGAGAAACTGATAGCGAACAGCATGGATCCTGATCAGACAGTGCGGATGCGTAGGCTGGTCTGGATCCATGCTGGTCGCAAACCCACTATGTTGGTTTTGTCATGACACGGCTCAAATATGTCTTGTGTATTTAAAGTAAGATGTTGCTTACTTTACTTTATGCATGGCATATACGATAGTTAAACATTTTGTGATACTTTTGCTGAGACAACAAAGAAGACCTGTAGATTGTAAAGACTAAGATAATGAGAAAGGAAAAAAATATACAGAAAAGATATTTTTGATACACTTTTGTACCGGTTCTACCATAAACCATTTTTATTATCACTACTACCTTTAACCATTGCTGTTACCAATACTACACTTAACCATTGCTTAACTGAATTTATATAATGGACTTGACCTGCTTTGATTTGGAATCGTTCATTTTAAGTGTTCAATATCAAAAATGCTTAAATTAAGTAACTAACAGTAAACAGTTTGGTCATGTTGCATCCATGAGGAGACTGGTCTTGCTCTATAGCAATGGCAGGTCTGCCTATGGATTTGTCAAGCTTGTACAAGCTGAAATTTCTGTGTTGATCTCAGACATTGAGTCTAATGGTCATTTGTCTCTCAACACTGATTCAGAATTCTTGTGAGATAAGGAGTTGGTCACTTGTTGAGAAGTTGGTAAGCACAGGTTAGTAATCCAGGAAAGCTGAATAGGTGGATGGTTCGCCCAGAAATGACAAAACAAACTACAGTGTTGACATAGATAAATTATTCTCACTGCTGACATTCAATTAGCTAAATAATAATACCTAAACATAATATGTGACATTGCTCCCTTAGTAATAGGGCCTGTTCCATTGGCATGTTATGCACATGTACTCACATTCCTTTTGTCAGACTATAATGAATTCAACTGATGAAAAACATCTCTGTTTTATAATGAAAAAGTAGCAAATTAATATTAATCTTATTGTAATGTAATGACTCTGTGTATATTGTAAAATCTAAATAAAATAACAATAAACTCATTTATTTTACAGAACTGTGTTCAAGCTTCTAGCATCACCAAATGAAGATATAAGAATCAAAACATTGAAGTTATTTGGTTTCTGGCTCAGTAGAAGTACACCAAAGTATGATAGCTTTTAGATTATTCTTATGTTTGGTAGTTATTGATTTATATTGCATATATCAATTGAATCCTTATGAAATTACTTGTGATTTTTACCAGTCATTGTTATGATGTTATGAGTTAAAATCTTGGTAACCAATACTATGCTTTAAATCATCCAATCTGGACAAAACCATTCATCTTTTTTAGGAAAAAAATTCCTGCATGAACAGACTGAATAACAAACAGTTCAGACCATGATCAAGTGGCAGAGTTGTGCTAGCTAATCTTGGTCTGCTCTGGTTGCATGGGTATATTCAGAATGTATGAATTGTTTCATTTTGCCATGAAAACAAATAACTTAATCATCTGATGTCATGTAATTTCTTTTGTTGTTATTCAGAAGAAGGATATGTAAAACATGTAAAAAGAAATAAGTTTTACCCCCCCCCCCCAAAAAAAAAAAGAAGAAATTATTATTTATTATATGGCTTATTTTCATATCATATTAGCTCGTAATAATCACATAAAATTCTGCTATAAGTATACAATGTATATATAATAGTTGAGAAGCATATATATTTTGTTATTCAGGAGAAAACAGGATTCACTGGCCCAGCACAATTTATTTTCACTACTTGGTGAGAGGTTACTGCTCAATGATCAACACATTACCGCAGCTACATACAATGCCTTGTTTGAGGTAAATACTGTTACATATAATGCCTTGTTTAAGGTAAATACTGATACATATAATGCCTTGTTTGAGGTAAATACTGTTACATATAATGCCTTGTTTGAGGTAAATACTGTTACATATAATGCCTTGTTTGAGGTAAATACTGTTACATATAATGCCTTGTTTGAGGTAAATACTGATACATATAATGCCTTGTTTGAGGTAAATACTGTTACATATAATGCCTTGTTTGAGGTAAATACTGTTACATATAATGCCTTGTTTGAGGTAAATACTGATACATATAATGCCTTGTTTGAAGTAAATGCTGATACATAAAATGCCTTCTTTGAGGTAAATACCCATACATATAATTCCTTGTTTGAGGCAAATACTGATACATATAATGCCTTGTTTAAGGTAAATATTATAATGCCTTGTTTGAGGTAAATAATGATACATAGAATTCCTTGTTTGAGGTAAATAAAGATATGTGTAATGCCTTGTTTGAGGTAAATGATGATACATGTAATGCCTTGTTTGAGGTAAATAATGATAAATGTTATGCCTTGTTTGAGGTAAATACTGATACATATATTGCCTTATTGAGATAAATAATGATACATATTATTTCTTGTTTGAGGTAAATAATGATACATATAATGCCTTGTTTGAGGTAAATACTGATACATATAATCACTTGTTTGAGATAAATAATGATACATGTAATGCATTGTTTGAGGTAAATAATGATAAATGCTATGCCTTGTTTGAGGTAAATACTGATACATATAATGCCTTATTGAGATAAATAATGATACATATTATTCCTTGTTTGAGGTAAATAATGATACATATAATGCCTTGTTTGAGGTAAATACTGATACATATAATGCCTTGTTTGGAATAATAATGATACATCTAATGCCTTGTTTGAGGTAAATAATGATAGATATATAATGCCTTGCTTGAGGTAAATAATGATAAATATTACGCCTTTCTTGAGGTATATAATGATACATGTATTGCCTTGTTTGAAGTAATAACTGTTTATATACAGACTGAATAGCAAACAGTGCAGACCATGATCAGATGGCATGGTTGTGCTGGTTGATGGTGGTCTGCTCTGGTGGCACATGTATAATCAGTGACCATCAGCAGTGAAAGGGTTATACAAGAGATTGATTTTTCTTTCATTTTAGATGTTAACAGAAAGAGTTTGCCTTGAATCACACAAATCAAAGCATGAGGAACCTGAGAGTCATTTTAGGATAGAAAATTCAGGTAAGCATGAGTGTGAATGCTCATGATCAGAACCTAATGCAATTTTATTTCCATTCAGTGTTACTGAAAGTTATTATATTCTTACATGATAAGATATGTTCATGTACATAAAAGGATTTTCAAGTCATACTACAGTGAAATGTCTATGTGGCAGCAGCCAAATGGTTAATATGTCAGACTTGTAATCTAGTTATTGCTGGTAGCATAGGTACACTCCATGTCAGGTGCAAGCGTTATTTCCATTTTACACTTATTGCTAAGTCCTGGTTGGTTCCTAGTGTTTCTATAAGGTTGTGAATTCAAACACTATTGAAGTAAAAAAAAATCTGTGCAAACTATATGTCTTTTTATCATATTTTAAAAGATTAACTGAAAGTTATAGTCACAGTGATGTAAGTTCACATAATGTTTATGTTTGAAAACATGCAGTTAAGTTATTATGTTTGTATTTAATGTTTATGTATTTTTTACAGCATTATTGAAAGTTGTTGCCACCATGATTCGGCAGTCCAAGCCAAGTGCGGAGATTTTGGAGGTGAAGAGAACATTTCTATCAGATCTTACGATACTGTGTAAAAACAACAAGGAAAATAGAAGGTATAAAATCCCACTTTATGATACCACACATAAGCAATGTAATATCACCTTAATAGTTATAAAGATTTCTGTCAGAATCACACAATGAAGTTTCTTTTGGGTGCAAAAAGAATTTTATGTTTCTTATCAGTTTATAAATACTTTCATGGACTTTGTTCCAGGTATACATTCTCCATATGCTCATGATTTATTGATGCTTTTCTAGTTTTTTTATGCCCCCGGGCATATAGTAATTGAACCGTCCGTCCGTCTGTCCATCCGTCCGTCTGTCCGTATGAGGTTAACCTAGAACGGCAAGTTGGATTTTTCTTAAGTTCTACCTGTACCAATGGCTTCATAATTTACACTTACTTATCAATACAATGTACATGATATTGCCAAGTTATATAAATGTGCCATCCATTTTCCCAGTAATTTCCCTTCTTATCACTTTGAAAATAGGGCCTTGTATGGTGAACCTATTCCGCCAAGTTGGATTTATAAAAAAATTTCACCTAATTACTTAATTTATTTAAAGATATCTTTCATATTTGGTAGGTGGATACCTTTAGTTTAACGGTCCTCTATTTTTTTGTGGCATTAGGCGTCTCTAGGTCAAGGTCACTTGTGTAAAAAAATAAATCTAAACATTTCAGCTCATACAGCCTTTATTTTTAAGTTAATGTCTTTCATGTTTATAATAGTCATACCAAGGGAGGTCCTCTTCCTTTTCCTTTAGTAAGGGGTCGTTTGGGTTAAGGTCAGCAATGTCAAAAATAGATTTTTTACACTTTTACAGGTGTATTAACCTTATTCTATCGACAGATGTCTTGTATATTTTGTAGGAACAAAAAATTGAGGTATTCTCATTTGGATGGAGGTAGGGGTCACTTGGGTCAAGGTCACCAGTGCTAAAAATAGATTTTTACACTTTTGCTCATACAGCCTTTATTTATTGACATATTTGTATTATAATTGCTAGGAAGATAACTTACATGGTATTATTCCTTTGGATGGAGTTAGGGGTCAGTTGGGTCAAGGTCAACAGTGCTAAGAATAAATTTTTACATTTTGCCCATACAGCCTTTATATATTGACAGATTTATTTCATATTTGGTAGGAGAATAAGTTGCATGATATTCTTCCTTTGGATGGAGTTAGGGGTCAGTTGGGTCAAGGTCTTCCATACAAATTAGCTACTTGTTAATTTATTGACAACAGTGAGCGCGGGGGCATTTGTGTTTATCAAACACAGATTCTTGTTGTTGTTTTTTTAATAAAGGCCTATATGGAATGGTAACTCATTTCAAGTTATGATTTCGCGGAAGCATTAAAATCAGCAAAATAACATGAAAATTGCAGACTCGGTTTGATTGAGTCTGTACATGAGGGATAATGAAAAAGTGCAACAACCCTCACGCCCCTTAGCGCCGACTTGAGTGGTACTCAATTTTCAACACTTAAAAGTGCTGAACTCATTGATCCAGGAGGACCAGAAAAATATAACAACACTAAATGTTTGATATGCTATTGTTCACCTTTGAATAATGTTGTAATATATTAAAGGTTTGCTTGTTTTCAATATATTATTAATATAAATATGTACAGAAAAATTCCTGTTTTGTTTTAGGACTGTTCTTCAGATGTCAGTTTGGCAAGACTGGTTGTTCTCTATGGCTTATGTATACCCCCAGAATCAGGATCAACAGAAGATTACAGAGATGGTGATGGCATTATTCAGGATGTTATTACACCATGCCATTAAGTTCGAGTACGGTGGATGGAGAGTGTGGATTGATACGTTAGCTATATTACATTCCAAGGTAACTATTTTATTTATTTTGATATTTATGCAACTGCTTGATTGATATGAATGGTTGAATTTGAATAGCTAGTCCTTCACCTCTCTGTGAAGGAAATTTTTAGGAACTAAGAAATAGATGTGTAAAAAAGCTATCTAACGTTATCAGTTCTTTCAAACAATCCTTTAAGCCTTAAGTAGTCCTTAACTGAGTCATTTGGTAATATTTAATGACAGAAAAAAAGAAAACAAATAAATCATTTAGTTCAGCTAAATTTATAGTTAAAGAATGCTAGAACTCGAGAACTAAAATTTTCAGGGTTAGTGCTTGCTTTAAAAGAGCATTAAAGGTTTTTTGTGGTTATTTTGTAGTGTTTGATATCTCTAATGAATTGGTTGATTTGGAATTATACAATGTTTCATCTCTATGTTATTATTTGTATATATAATTGTGTATTTATTTCTGTCAAATTTCTGTAAAGCTGTATTCAGCTTAGACTGTTTTGATTTTAAAGATATACTGCCAAGATATATGATTATTTAGGAAAACATGTCTTTCATGTTGCAGAAAATTGAATCCTATTAAACATTATTGATGATTTGTTTCCTATTTATAGGTAGCATATGAGGATTTCAAGCGTCACATGGCAAAGATGTACAAACAATATGACAGACAACGTGTGGACGATTATGCTGATCATGAGGAGAGGAACAGACAACCAATCAGCACAATATCTGGTGTTTCTGACACTGAACTCAACAAACCTGTTCCTAAATCTACTGTCAAGGTCACAGAAATAGAAGAATCAGAGGCAGCAAACACTGTAAAACCATTGAATAATGAAAGTGAGGCTGGAGCCAAAACTGACCAATCAGAGAGCAGTAAAGCTGTAAATGGTGAAATTGAGGCAGACAGTAGTAAGAATGGTGTACATAGTGCTGCTGAACATCAGAGAGATAGACAAAAGATGCCAACAAGGACAGATTCAACGAGAAGTGGGCACAGAATGTTCAGCTCCGGACCTAGAGCGCCACCCTTTAGGATACCCGAGTTCAGATGGTCATATTTACACCAACAACTCTTAAAAGATCTTCTGTTCTCCATAGAGACTGATGTACAAGTCTGGAAAAGGTATTTTACTTTGTAATGGATTTGTGAAAAATTTGTATAGGTGGTGTAAAAATTAGCAATACTTTCATAACAGAGATTCCAATACTTTTAGTGTTAAGCCAGTATAAGATGGCACTTTCCAGTAAATTCTTTCATTGCTCACTTGGCTTGTGGCTGAAACAATGACACTGATGAAATGGAAAAATAATACTGTTGAAATACACTGTCAGTGTATTATTGTTCGTTGAAATTTAAAAATTATAGAAATAGATATATTTTCAGTTAAGTGAATTGAAGTGTTATTTTTCCAATAAGAAATTTGCTTTGATTGCTTTAAATTAGCATTAAATTTAAATTGTGTGCTCAAGAGAGAGTTTTTTTTATAAGTTTCATATTCTTACTAACATTAATGTAAGTTTCAAGGTAGTACCTTATCTTGTACATATAGATCTAAAATTAAAATTTTCAAATATCAAGCAAGAATCAAACTAACCTAAAACATGAAAATCATGTAAATTGCCAAAAAAAAAAATGTACAATTTCTATATATAGGTATTGTTTAATTTATATAAATTATCCAGCAAATGTTGGTGCAATATATAACAAGAAAGATGAATTTCAGTTTTTCTTTAATCTCTTGTTTCAGTCATACAACGAAAACTGTGATTGATTTTGTGAATTCGGGTGAGAACAATATTTATGTAGTGAATGTTACACATATGATCTCCCAGTTAGCGGACAATCTGATCACATCATGTGGAGGTCTCCTTCCTTTATTGGCAGCAGCTACTTCTTCTAATGTGAGTAAAGACATTTATTATAATGGACTAAAAGTTACAGGGTTATTTCACCTACAAGACAGGTTTTTTGTATGTGTATATCATGCAGAAGTTTCTACCTTTTACACTGGTGCTTGAAAAACTCATCTCACACCACCCTGACAGAGCCTTGTTACCCTAAACATAGCCATCAACAGATACCCTTGAGCTAGATATTCTAGTCTGTACTGGCAATCTGTTTATGAGTATGACTATTTTGTTAAAGCTTACTGCAGCACAACATGCTGACCTACTATGATCACTCACTGTCTTGTCTGTTAGACCACAATTCTTTTAAACAATATGAGGAAGCTATCCAAATAGCTCATGATAGATTGATGGTTTACAAGTGTGCTGGCTTGTAATTGAAATATTGACCCTGAGGGGTACCTGAGGTTTTCCTTCACTAGTTAAGCTAGACTATCAGCATATCATCATTTATTCCAATTATATAGTTTTGAACTCGGTAAAAGTCATAAAACTGTTTCCTTCAAATTGCGTTTTAATTTGTTACACAGCTTTTGTGACTATATTTCAGGGAGAGGTGGAGATTTTAGAACCTACGCAAGGTCTCAGTATAGAACAAGCAGTATCAATTCTGTTACGAATCATGAACTTGACGGATATTCTCGTGTTTGCTAGTTCCACAACATTCGCTGAACTGGAACAGGAGAAAAATATGCCAGCTGGTGGGATATTGAGACAGTGTCTTAGATTAGGTAAGTTTTTTTTTTAATTGCCATGTTTTTGCTCATCTGTTTCAAAGAAAATATCAAGCAATAATGATTGCTAAGTTGTTGTTGTTGCCATAGGCATGCAAAAACTTTAACGTGGTCCATCATTCAAACATTGTAAAATGTATAAGTATGAATGCTTGCTTATCATAACAAGATACAGTTGTAAGATAAATTGCATTATACTGAATTTAGGAGTTATGGCCCTTTTTATTTTAGAAAACTTACAAAAACTGGTTATTGATAGTCGTTGTTCTTAGCAGGCTAGCATTTACACTGCATCTGATGCTTTTTTAAATAATACATTACATGTTTTTTTTTATGTAACGAAGCATTATAATAATCTTTAGAGGCCTCAGAAGCTGTGTTGTTAAGGTTGGTAATTTCCTGCTGGGACTTAAATTCTTTTGTATAAGGAAGCTATTCAGTTGGCTTATAGAAGGTTTCTTGTTCTGATCAAATGCCTGCTTGTGCCTGAAATGAGAATTGGTTTACTTTAACCCTACTAAAAAAGGTCACTAAATCTACCTAGATTACAAGGTACCTGGTAACAAGTGTTAAATTAGGGCAACATGGCCGTCAGTTTTATCTTAATTATTTAAGGGATAATTGAACTAAAAATAAAACAAGAGTGCAATAACAGTGACTGTCAACTAACATAAAATTTTGTCTTCCAGTTTGTACTGCAGCTGTAAGAAACAGTCTAGAAGTGCGTCATCGTGCAGTCCCCCCTACCCCACCCACTCCTACATCTACAGCTCATCCATTAGCCGGATATTCCAGAGACTCATCTGCTCAGAATGGAACTACAGATCCTATACAGGCATTGATTGAAGGCTCACACCCTACCAGGAAGGTTTGTATCAGATCATGTGATTTTCTTGTATGAATTTGTATGAAATATGATTACAGAAAAGCATAAAAGCTTCTTTGTCCTTTTGCATTCCTTTTGTGATTCAACTTATTTACCATTTCTGTTTGAATTTCATTTGTTACTAGTTTTGATGAAGAGGTATCTTGCAGGGGTTCCATTATATTTTGACATTATGCCTGGCTACTTTGTGATAATGAAACCTTTGCATTGCATAGACTTAGACCTTTTTGAGGTTCTGTGCCAAGACTGCAACTTGGAAAATTGGTCAGTATTGCCAATTTTCTTGACAAACCTTTTGTCTTAAGAGCTATCTGCTGTTAAATTATAAACAATTTTAGAAACAGAATCCTTATATCAAGCTTCTTATGATAGAGTCTGGTCAGACTGCTTATCATCATTTTAGGGTTATGTCCTTCTAAATTTATTAGGAGTTAAGCAGTGCACTAAGGTGACGATATATATGCTTGCAGTCTGACTGTCAGTTGCTATACAGTGCTGGCATATGCCTGTTTCTTTGGGCCAGCTTTTTATGCCCCCACAATGTGGGAGCATATAGCGTTGCACTTGTCCGTCCGTCCGTCCTTGTCTGTCAGTCAGTCCGTCCGTCCCGAAATCTTGTGAAAGCAACTCCTCTTAAACCAGATGGCAGATTTTGCTTAAACTTACAGGGATGAACAACCTTAATGTGTAGATGGTAGTAAAGGAAGGAATTTTCGCTGCGACCAAATTTAACAGAATTATGGCCCTTTGTTGATTTTTTCACTAGATACTATGTAGAAATTTTATGAACGCAACTCCTCTTAAACCGGATGGCAGATTTTGCTTAAACTTACAGGGATGAACAACCTTAATGTGTAGATGGCAGTAAAGGAAGGAATTTTTGCTGCGACCAAATTTAACAGAATTATGGCCCTTTGTTGATTTTTTCACTATATACTATGTAGAAATTTTGTGGACGCAACTCCTCTTAAACCGGATGGCAGATTTGTTTAAAGTGACATTATGCCCATCCAAAGTTATATAGTGGGTGAACGGGTGAAGCTCAAAATAAGTTTTCATATTGCCATAAATCCTTTCAATTTAATATTTAAGTTCACATAAACAATAATTTACACACAGATCCAAATGAAATTTCTGTAACGATACATTAGAATTTACCTACAACCCTTAGTTTATAAAAAGAGTGGGGCAGTCTTTTTAAATTTTAGGCAGATTTATAATTTTCTCCTAAACATTTTCTAATATCAACTATTGGTGAAACACCATTTTGACAGTCAATCTTTTGAAATATAAAATCAATTAAGCTCAACTTGACTATGAAAATATGAGCATAATGTCACTTTAAACTTACAGGGATTAAGGTTGGATGAATAACCTTAATGTGTAGATGGCAGTAAAGGAAGGAATTTTTGCTGCAACCAAATTTAACAGAATTATGGCCCTTTGTTGATTTTTTCACTAGATACTATGTAGAAATTTTGTGAACGCAACTCCTCTTAAACCAGATGGCAGATTTTGCTTTAACTTCCAGGGATTAACAACCTTAATGTGTAGATGGTAGTAAAGAAAGGAATTTTTGCTGCAACCAAATTTAACAGAATTATGGCCCTTTGTTGATTTTTTCATTATATACTATGTAGAATTTTTTTTGAACGCAACTCCTCTTAAACCGGATGGCAGATTTTGCTTTAACTTCCAGGGATTAACAACCTTAATGTGTAGATGGTAGTAAAGGAAAGAATTTTTGCTGCGACCAAATTTAACAGAATTATGGCACTTTGTTGATTTTTAGTTTTCAACTTGTGGCACATGTAGTCCAAAAAATATTTGACCTAGTGGCGTGTTGGGGCATCCGTGTCCTATGGACACATTTCTAGTTTCTTACTAGCTTTTTGAAAACATAAACATAGTGCGTGTTGCAAAAAAGTCTGTTAAACAGAGGTCATTCAAAGTCAGATTTGCTTATGTCAGTTGCAGTTTAGCCTGTGATTAATAAATCATGATTATACAGTTTATATGATGTGCACTGGTATTATTTTTCAGAATATTGTTGAGAATTTGAACGAACAATTGTCGCCGATCAAAGATTTTGACAAGCTTTTACAGGACATGGATATCAATAGACTGCGGGCAGTCGTTTATCGTGATGTGGTAAGATACATAAACACTAAGTTAGTCATATATTTCATTAAGTTAGTCATTTATATATTTCATTAAGTTAGTCATATATCTCATTAAGTTAGTCATATATCTCATTAAGTTAGTCATTTATATATTTCATTAAGTTAGTCATATATCTCATTAAGTTAGTCATTTATATATTTCATTAAGTTAGTCATTTATATATTTCATTAAGTTAGTCATTTATATATTTCATTAAGTTAGTCATATATCTCATTAAGTTAGTCATTTATGTATTACATTAAGTTAGTCATATATCTCATTAAGTTAGTCATTAATATATTTCATTAAGTTAGTCATATATCTCATTAAGTTAGTCATTTATATATTTCATTAAGTTAGTCATTTATATATTTCATTAAGTTAGTCATATATCTCATTAAGTTAGTCATGAATATATTTCATTAAGTTAGTCATATATTTCATTAATTCTGTCCGCTCTGAATAGTTATTACAAGCTATTCTTTTAGTTACTTATGACAACAAAATCTTATTTACAATAATGAGTTCAACAGACTAATGATCAATAGAAATAAGAAAAAAATAGTTAGAAATTTTCACAAATTATTATTCAGGAAAATATTCTATCTTGCCATTGTTTTGCATTTATTTTATGAATTACATGGTATGTTTGTAGGAGGAGACAAAACAGGCCCAGTTCCTAGCTCTTGCTATTGTATATTTTACATCAGTATTGATGGTATCAAAATACAGAGATATCCTTGAGCCTCCAAGTCCAGCCCAAACACCGAGTCAGATGCCACGTCGAAGCTCTAACCATACACCTTCAGGTAGGTTTACGGGGAAATAATTTTACAAAATAAAAATATTTTGAATTGGTGTGTAATGATTTATTAAAAACTACAGAACTGAACTGGCATTTATTCATCAGTGACAGGGTAGAATTTTGTGGCTAATCTAAAAAAATGAGTCATTTCGCATCATGCATTCCAATTTTCAATTAGTACATTTCCTAAACTATAAATATATTTTCCTGAAGGTTGATAATATGAAGATTTTTTCACTGAAGGTATGCTCTTTTAAAGAAACTTACACATAATGTTTATGCAATCAATATGGTATTGTAAAGAATTTAAAGATATAATTTCAAAAGTGGACTAGATGTGATATTAGGATTAGTTTTCTGGTTTTAAGTTTGTGGGTGCTGGGTAGCATGTGCATAAAAATATATCCTTGAGCTAAAGTTTGTTATTTAAAATTTTAGAAAATAAAACACAACTGTTTGAATAGCAATATCGTATATGCTGTTATAAATACCTGTACAGTACTTTATAATTTCTTTGGCCATAAATATAATGTATTGAAGATGGATATTTTTGCATACTGTCTGAAAATTGAAAGTTTAAGAATAGATGTCATTATTTCTGTATAATTAATTGATTGGATACTAACACTACATAATGCTTGAATGTCAATGTATATAATTAACAGTTTATATTTTCACAATATTTTTGTAAAGTTCAGATGAAATAATGAAATCAATTGAAAATTAAATATGTTTTTCAAAAGTTACTAGAATGGTGATGGGAGCTTTGTGTCAGATTTGTTTTTCTAGTACTTTGTTTGTTACTAATATGTTCACATGGGCATGATGAATGTTGGCTGCAAATAATTGAGGCATATGATTCTTTTTGTGGATATTATTAACTTTACAAAATATTTAAAAAATAAGTGTGCAGGACTTGTGCCTGTGTGTGCAGGACTGGTTTCTGTTTGTGCTGGACTGGTTCCTGTGTGAACAGGACTGGTTCCTGTTTGTGCAGAACTGGCTCCTATATGTATAGGACTGGTTCCTTTGGTGCAGGACTGGTTCCTTGTGTGCAGGACTGGTTCCTACATGTGCAGAATGGTTCCTGTACATGCATGACTGGTTCCTGTACATGCATGACTGGTTCCTATACATTCAGGACTGGTTCATGTGTGTGCAGGGCTGGTTCCTGTGAACATATTGTCTTTGTCTTCAGAATGAATTCTACATTGTTCTCTGCTTTGATTTAGAATGTATAAATAGGAATGGCATGAACAGCTTTTATCATTTTACTATTTATGCAGCTGCTAAATATTGGCACAATCTGAGGCCAACCATGTCTTTATTGGTTGATGGAACAACCATTGAAAATATCAAACAAAATGAAGGTGAAGGTACTGAAACTAAAACTGACGAACAACCAAAAGGTGGTGTCGAGAGAGAACAAACTGATTCTAAGAAATTACCTAAAGCTACTGTCTCTACTGTTGAACTGGCTGTTACAGGAAACGAACTTGCTGTGTATTTAGAGAAAGAACGGGAACTCAGTTCAGATTCCTCCGATAAGAGTGAAAAGTTGTCTGAAGCGTCAGAAAATTCACCAAAGAGTACACCAACAAAACCTACTATTGAAGATGCTGATCAAGGGAGTGTACTCTCACGGATGATTTCTGGGTCTGAGAGTGGCCAGTCTGGTGAGGTGAAGTCATTGGAAATCCATTCTGTGGAAAACCAGTCTGAAAGTAATCAGTCTGAAGGTAGTCATTCTGAAGGTAACCAGTCTGAAGGTAACCAGTCTGAACATAAACAGCCAGAGAGTGACCAGTCAAGTGTAAATCATAAAGACAGTAACCAGTCCACAGATGATAGTCAAACTGAAGCAAAATTAGAAGAAACCCAGTCTGATTCAGCTGAAAATAAAACAGAAACAGAAAACCAGTCTGAAGGTTTATAGATATTGTACAGCTGGCACCTGCCCGTTTATAGTTGTAGATTTGAAATCATATATCTTCACTGGCATACTGTTGAATATATTGAGTTTTTGTTATCTATTTATGCATGTTTTTTAAAAACTGTTAAGCTTTATTTAGTTGTTAATGTTTCCAGTTTGAACACCTGCTTCATTTTTTTTCTCCCTATATCTTTAGTGGTATTTGAATTAAATACTGCTGATCAAATGCAAAAGCCTGAAAGAAGTTAATTTTGTCGATAATATTGGATAAATACATAATCCTCTTCATCTTCATAAATACAATATTGAAATATGTGGCAAAAAAGTTAAATATTTGATTAGATTTCTACAGAAAAATCATACATTAGTACATAAATTTCTTCCATGTTTTTCCCTCAAGATAGTAATTCAGTTTTGCTTAAGTCATTGCCTCCTTAACACACTGGGCAAAGTCTTAAGATGATGCATGATTGTTATTTTTTGATGCAAGAAAACAAAAATCTGATAATTGCATGATTTATACTTTCGTTTTTTTGCTATGGTTTGCTTCACATATTAGGTTTATACTTATTCCTGTTTTTTTCTTCATTTTTGTTAGAGTTGTTTGAAGTTTTGTTATATTTATTTGTTTATCTTAAGTTCGAATTTGTTATATTTATTTGTTTATTTCAAGTTTGGATCTTTATTTATTTTTTTGTCTGCCTTGCATGATAATTTTTGTAATCATAACAAATTGTGACATCAATGTATCAAAGTAAAACATATATTTGTGTTAATGAAATGATAAAGAATATAAAAACATTTAGAACTGTTGAACATTTATCCCTTACCCTGCTGACTGTCTAAATTATACTTGTGAGAGGCTTAAGGTTGTTGATCTCAAACCGTCAGACCTTCACAGCTTTGTGTTCAAATTCCCCTTGTGATTTTGTATTATTTTAAATGAGGAATCTATCCAATAAGGGTATGTAATGTGGTTCTACTCTGGTGCTTGCTCTCTGAGGTCTTCTTCTAATAGTAAAGCTGGAAAATCCCAATATCACCCTCACAATGTTGGTGTGACTAAAAATAAAAAAAAATCCAACCAATCAATGAAAATCAATCAATCAATCAGTCAATCAGTCAAATTGTAAAGTGTATATTTTTTTTTAATTTTGGAATTTGGGGATATCAAGATTTGTATTTGACACTCAGTATATAGCCTCTAGCCAAAATGCGCTCCTGTGCAAGTTGGCTTGGCGCTATTCTGTTGTCAAAGGCTTATTAGCAGGGGTAATGGTTTTATAAAGGATGAATAAGAATAGAAAATTTAACTTGTGCATTGAATTTTGATTACATATCGAATAGCTGCAATGATTGACTTCTTAATTTGTATTTTGAAGAATTTATATGCATGTAATTAACTTGCTTAGCTTTTAGATTGATTACATACACAGCCGTTTATTATTCCACTTTAAACAAAATTTTGAATGACCTTTTTCGTTAATTTGATGTGACAAGGCTTATCATGGTAAAAGGGTTGTTTCTAACTTTATCTTTCAATTATATTATATATCATATTGTTTTACTCTAATTTTGTTTTGTATTTTGGAAAAGGAAAAATAGACTTATTCCTACAAAGGGAAAAGTAAACTGGTTTCATTTAATCATTATTTCTAATTTGAAACAGGGAACCAGTCAGAGGTAGATGAAACAGAGGATCAGTCTGAACCTGGAGAGAGCCGGGTACAAGAGGATGCAGACAGCAGTGTGGACGAGAGTCAGGTGAAGTTGAAGATACCAGTAGATGTACACGTCAATATGGATACGTCTTTAGGTAAAATTATTGTCTTATAATAAAGAAAACCTGCACCCTTAGCTTAGTAAAGAGAGTGTTACATCTATGAACCTTAGATTTCTGAATTTCTGAGTTACTGTAGAAGACTAGGGACATTCTGTGCTGTAACAATTTGGTTGATAATACAAATAACAAAGTAATACAGATATGCTACTCAGGGATGGCAAAGTCAGTTTTCCGTATTACAAAGGTTGTTTAACAGCTTGTGGGAACAAGTGAAAATCAGATTTTGCCGGCTCTTTACCTAGTATTGATTATGAATGGTTCTAATTATGTGGTCATTTAAACTTTAAATTAAGTATAAAGAGTTGCTGGGTTTTCTTTCACTGGCAAAAATGAAAAAATATCATATGAACCACAATGTTATTCCTTAATCCCTTGCAGAAAAATAATAGTTTAATAAGATTTTTAACTGATTTTTTTTCTCAAATGCAGAATTGTTTTTCTTGTGCAGGGCTGATGTCAAAGGTTTATCAATATTAAAAAGCACTTTTGACTTTTATATAAGTGTCATCTTTTAACTCGATAGGGAGAGCATTGGGATTGATATTGAGAGGTGGCTGATGCAATACTTCATAATTTCTCTGCAAAGATTGATCCTAATGGTCATTTGTCTCCCACTGCTTCTTCAGAAATCATGTGCAATTAGAAGTTGGTCACTTGCAGAGGAAATGGTAATTTACTGGTTAATTATCCAGGATTGATTGACTGACTGCCAAAATATGGCCAAAAATGTATTAAAATTGGCATAAGCACAAGAGAAATGAATTAATGAAATATATATCAAATTGCAGAATCAGGAGGAGTTACTGAAGACTCAGAGGCAGCTTCTCCAGCCAGACCTGTGACTGAGGGAGGAGAAAATGAGGAAACAAAAGAGTCTGGTGATGGTGAGGAGCAGGAAGAAGATGAGGATACAGGGAAAGATGATGATGTTACAGGCAAAAATGATGATGGTACAGGCAAAGATGATGATGGTACAGGCAAAGATGATGATGGTACAGGCAAAGATGAGGAAGAGGAGAACAAAGCTGAAGCTAAGGACAAAGCAAAAGGTATATCTTTCAAATATAAGATTTTGACAAAATGCTGTTGTTAGACATAACTAGGATCAACTGATAAAAGTGTTGATTCCCTGAACACAAGATATATTCTTAACATACTTTATAATCTGGGTTAGTGATTAGTAGTGAAGAGATTTGTAGACTTTGAGAACAATGCATATAACTTTCATTGAAATGGTTTACAGATGTCTTTCGTTTGATAAGAATGAAACTAAATATGCAGGGGGAAAAGGGGCTTGAATGAAGTAAAAATTAAAGGAAAACATTGTACTTATGTTATTTTGAGAACACATTTTTTTGAAAGACGAGAGTGTATGTTTAGGTGGAGATCTAGATGTAATGGCATTCTTAAGTTTACTGTTGAAATTAAGGTGTCTTAAAGGGAGTTTTTGTTTTTTACAAACCTTTAGAAGCTGTGTGTATCTTTGGCAAAACATTAATATAGGTGATGTAAAAAAGATATCCAGAAATGATTATATCTACTTTCAAATCATCATCACTGATGGTGAATCAAATTTAAAGCAAAAGATTATCATCAGTTTTGTGTTACAGAAGAGCCAACTGGAGAATCAGAGGATAAAGAAGTTGGAGCTGGAGATGCTGAGAATACTGAGCAAACTGAACAAAAAGATGATGCAAAAGATAGTGAAGACAAGAAAGATAGTGAAGAAGTAGAGAAGAAAGAAGACAGCATAGAAACAGCTGATGAAAAAGATAAAGGTGACTCTGCAACTAATAAAGACAATGAAATTGATGCAAAGGAAGAAGAAAAACCCGTAGAAAAAGAAGAAGTAAAAACTGAAACGGAAGTTGCCCAAGCAGCATCTAATGATACTAAAGATAGTACTGATGCTGATAAGGCAACAAAAGAAAGTAAACCATCTGATGACAATGCTCCAGTTGAGGTTAATGGAAGAAATTCACCAGTTGATAGCATTGAGGGATCTACAGAAGGTCAAGAGCAGGTTTTATCTGTGCAGGTGGGAGAAGAGGAAGAGGAAGAGCCTGCTCAGATGCCAATTTCATCTATATCTGCTGGCACAAGAAAACACAGTGAGAGTCATGATAATCAGAAACCGGAAAAATTGGAATTGAAAAGTACACCAATACCAGGACCAGTTAACCTTACTATGTTAGATTCTGGAAATCTGACTGAAAGATTGGAGAAGGCTTTAGGATCTGTTGCTCCATTGTTAAGAGAAATATTTGTTGATTTTGCACCTTACTTATCAAAGACTCTAATTGGATCACATGGCCAGGAATTGCTCATTGGAGGTAAGTTTAATGATCTTGTGCAGTAAGTTGAATTGTTGTCTGTGAAGCTAATGTTCAGTTTAGCAGATTAAAGTCCATGGTCAAGTAGTTGAGGTTGTTGACTTCAACAATGCCCCTCAGTTTTATGGGTTTGAATCCAGTCAGGGTTTTTAGACTCTTTAAGGTGATGAATTTATCCAGCTAGCTTACAGATTGTAGGTGGTTCTACTCCGGTGCCTGTTTGTGCCTGAAATAATGCAGGGAGAGCACTAGAGGTATTCCACATCTCCAATACAGCTGGAAAGTTGCCATATGACCTTTAGAGTGTTGGTGGGAAGTATAACCCAAACAAAATTAAGTGTGTTCGAATTGTTTTAATTTCATTGTCTTTTAATCTTTTGTCCTTAAGTTGAGTTGGGCAGAATATAACAAGGTTTTTGAATACTTTATAGTAAAAAGTTGCCCATCAAGATTTTGAAGATTGATGGTACTCCCTAGGTTCTCTTGTTGCATCTAAAGTAACAAACAAAAGAGCTTCTAGGGCACTCCTTTATCAGGAATGCTAAAATGTCTCCTTATAACATTCCCCAATGGTTTAGTGACTAAAAATGATTAAAACAAATAATTGATTGAGAAATGTCTAAATATACATTGTCACTTTAGTGCAATAACTGATTTACTGCTGTTTAATTAAGATGTCTCATGAGTAATGTACAAAAGTTCCTTCAACATGTAGATAATATTTTATTTACACAGGTCTGGTAACATTGAAGCAGAGTACATCAGTTGTGGAGCTAGTCATGTTGTTATGTTCTCAGGAATGGCAAAACTCCCTGCAGAAACATGCAGGATTAGCCTTTATAGAGCTGGTGAATGAGGGGAGGTAACTAATACTTTTGTGAATCTTTTTATTGTGAAGAGACACTTCTTTTTGAAGGCAATTTACAAGTCACATGGTTAACCTTATTTGACTGGTACTAGTAATTTTCGAAAATAATATTAAAGTGACATTATGCTTATTTTTTGGGCTATCCAGTTGAGTTGAACTAGAAGTATATTTTAAAAAATTGGCTATTATAATTGTGATTGACCAAAAGTTCATATTGAAAAATATGCATGATACAATATAAAAACTACCTAAATTATTAAAAGACTGCCCCACTTTTTAGCTCACCTTTCACAAAGTGACAGGGTGAGCTTTTGTGATCGCTTTTCGTCTGTCGTCCGTCCGTCCGTCGTCCGTCCGTCGTCCGTCCGTAAACTTTTACTTTAAATGACATCTCCTCATAAACCACTAGGCCAATTTCATCCAAACTTCACAGGAATGTTCCTTTGGTGGTCACCTTTAAATATTGTTCAAAGAATTTAATTCCATGCTGAACTCTGGTTGCCATGGCAACCGAAAGAAAAAACTTTAAATATCTTCTTTTAAAAAACCATAAGACCTAGAGCTTAGATATTTGGCATGAAACATCTTCTAATGAGTGTCTACCAAGTTTGTTCAAATAAAAGCCCTGGGGTCAAAATTGGCCCCGCCCCGGGGGGTCATTGATTTTCCCAATATGCATATAGTAAAAACTTAAAAAATCTTCTTATAAAGAACCCAAAAAGGTAGAGCTAAGATATTTAGCATGAAACATGTTCTAATGGGTGTCTACCAAGTTTGTTCAAATAAAAGCCCTGGGGTCAAAATTGGCCCCGCCCCGGGGGTCATTGATTTTCCCTATATGCATATAGTAAAAACTTAAAAAATCTTCTTTTAAAGAACTCAAAGAGCTATGGCTAAGATATTGAGCATCAAACATGTTCTAATAGGTGTCTACCAAGTTTGTTCAAATAAAAGCCCGGGGGTCAAAATTGGCCCCGCCCCAGGGGGTCATTGATTTTCCCTATATGCATATAGTAAAAACTTAAAAAATCTTCTTTTAAAGAACCAAAAGAGTTAGAGCTAAGATATTTAGCATGAAACATGTTCTAATAAGTGTCTACCAAGTTTGTTCAAATAAAAGCCCTGGGGTCAAAATTAGCCCCGCCCCGGGGGTCATTGATTTTCCCTATATGCATAATAGTAAAAACTTAAAAAATCTTCTTTTAAAGAACTCAAAGAGCTATGGCTAAGATATTGAGCATCAAACATGTTCTAATAGGTGTCTACCAAGTTTGTTCAAATAAAAGCCCGGGGGTCAAAATTGGCCCCGCCCAAGGGGGTCATTGATTTTCCCTATATGCATATAGTAAAAACTTAAAAAATCTTCTTTTAAAGAACCAAAAGAGTTAGAGCTAAGATATTTAGCATGAAACATGTTCTAATAAGTGTCTACCAAGTTTGTTCAAATAAAAGCCCTGGGGTCAAAATTGGCCCCGCCCCGGGGGTCATTGATTTTCCCTATATGCATAATAGTAAAAACTTAAAAAATCTTCTTTTAAAGAACTCAAAGAGCTATGGCTAAGATATTTAGCATCAAACATGCTCTAATAGGTGTCTACCAAGTTTGTTCAAATAAAAGCCCTGGGGTCAAAATTGGCACCGCCCCGGGGGTCATTGATTTTCCTTATATGTGTATAGCAAAAACTTAAAAAAACTTCTTTGAAAAAACCCAAATAGCTAGAGTTAAGATATTAAGCATGAAACATCTTTTAGTGAGTGTCTACAGAGTTTGTTCAAATAAAAGACCTGGGGTCAAAATTTGCCCCGCCCCGGGGGTCATTGATTTTCTTTATATGTGTATAGCAAAAACTTAAAATCTTCTTTGAAAAATCCCAAATAGCTAGAGTTTAGATATTAAGCATGAAACATCTTCAAGTAAGTGTCTACAAAGTTTGTTCAAATAAAAGCCCTGGCCCGGCCCCAGGGGTGTCATTGTTTTTAACTATATGTGTATAGTAAAAACTTTAAAAAAATCTTCTTTTAAAAAGCCCAATGAGCTAGAGCTTAGATGTTTAGCATGAAACATCTTCTTATGGGTGTCTACCAAGTTTGTGCAAATAAACCACTTATGTTAAAGTTTTTGTAATAGTTCAAATATTTTCAAAGTCCATAGACATATGGCTTTGAAACTTTGCACACTTGTTCACCATCATGACCCCAACCTGTAGACAGGAGGAGGTAACTGTATCAAGCATTTTGACAGAATTATGCCCCTTTTTTGACTTAGAATTTATGTTCAAGTTTTTGTAATAGTTCAAATATTTTCAAAGTCCATTGACATATGGCTTTGAAACTTTGCACACTTGTTCAACATCATGACCCCAACCTGTAAACAGGAGGAGGTAACTCTATCAAGCATTTTGACAGAATTATGCCCCTTTTTTGACTTAGAATTTACGTTAAAGTTTTTGTAATAGTTCAAATATTTTCAAAGTCCATTGACATATGGCTTTGAAACTTTGCACACTTGTTCACCATCATGACCCCAACCTGTAAACAGGAGGAGGTAACTGTATCAAGCATTTTTTTACTATCAAGCACTAAGAATAGTCGAGCGTTGCTGTCCTACCGACAGCTCTTGTTTATATGATCATGTCAAGTTATTTTTTATTTTTACCTGCTCAATGACCATTGACTAGTGGATGGGCATATAATATTATTATAAAGTGAGAAATGTATATGCACTGCATAAGAATTGAAAGGAAATAAATGAAATTTGTTGCAATGTATTTTAGGAAAGAGTAATATTCTTCAATGTTAATCACATTGCATTTAAAACTGGATTGGAAAAAAAACCAACAAAAAAAACAAACATAAAGTAAACAAGTATGAAGTTTTATTGCAATGTAGTGAACAAGAACCTTAAATTGATGTTAATTGAGAAGTAATTGCATATTTTTTGTAAATGGTCTAGATGTAAGTCATCTGTTTAAGGTTTCTTCTCCTTAACTGACTGGCATGTTAATGTGGAAAAAAAACTAGGTAATGAAAATGTTAACTAATGAAGAAAACATTAATTGAAATGAAAATTTTGCACAACAATTCGCCTTGAGACATTATGCATCTGTTTTGCCAATTTAGAAATGTCTCTATATATATTGGTTTTAAATGTGTTATTCTGAATTCACATTATAGTCACATATAAATAATTGTGCCCTAGTATATTTTTTAGTTTTCCCTTTTCTGTAAATGTATGAATGTATAGTGATTAGTATAATTGAGTAAATTTTGTCAAGGGGGATAAACATGTGTGTTAGGCATGTAATTCACAAGTTCTTGTCTCCCTTTAAGAATATAAGAAATATTCAGCTATAAAATCTGTTTAGCCAGCCCGCATAGCTCAATCGGTAAGAGTGTGAGACTTGTAATCTCGACATTATGGGTTCGATTCCCGGGCTGGCCAACTAAAATTACTAATCAGTCTTTCGGATGAGACTTTAAATTGAGGTCCCGTGTATGGGTGCTTAAACACTTGGCACGCTAAAGAACCAGGAGAAGCTTCTGGAATTGGGGCATCTTTCTGTATCTGTAATTGCACTATCCTCCAAAAATCTAAAATGACTAATACTCTTCTGGGGGACTCGCCCTTATGGGCAACCGGTGGCGAGTGTAAATAAACGCAAATACACACTTACACACAAATTCTGTTTATTCAAGCATATTTTTTCTGTTGAAGGGGATGGGGCTCAAGGCCTTATATTTTAGGACATACTAGTTATAAGGGTTGACTTAAGGTATATTGTCATTTTCTGGGCAAACTGGGTAATTAGAAATGAGAAGTCAAGGGAAATTGCATGATTAGAAATGGAAATAATGCAACTACAATTGGAAAACTGCAGAATTAGAAATGGGAAAACTGCATAATTAGAAGTGGGAAAACTACATAATTAAAAATGGGAGAAATGCATAATTAGAAAGGGGGAAAAATGCATAAGTACAAATGGGGAAAAAATGCATAGTTAAAAATGGGGACAATACGTAACTACAATTGGGGAAGATTACATATTTAGAAATGGGAAAACTGCATTTTTAGAAAGAAACATACCAGTTTATTTTGGACAAATGTCTATGAAAGAAAGAAAAAGTCATACAGGAAATATAAAGGGGACAAAATTTCATTTCAGGTTGTTAGCTCATGCAACAAGAGACCATATTGTACGAGTTGCAAATGAGGCGGACTTCATATTGAACAGAATGAGGGCAGAGGATGTACAGAGGCATGCTGAGTTTGAGGTATACAAATGAATTCTTCTATTAACATAACACTCTCCCCAAACGGCTATGGTAAGGAAGCTATCAACTTAGCTTACAGATTGTCAATGGTTTGACAAGTGCCCACTTGTGCCTGAATTCATACACAGAGGAGACTCTGAGGTATTCCTCAGCCAGTAAAGCTGGAAAGCTCTATTTCAGTGTGGGTATGACATAATAAGACAAAAAACAAAAGCCTTGTAAGCATAAGCTCTTCACTGTCTCTGACTTATATACATTACAACTCAACAATGCCAAAGAATTTAGGTTCAACTGTGATTGACTTAATAATTAAGCAAAGGATGCCATTTGACTTGCAAAAGATTCTGCTTAAATGTTTGCTCTTTGGTGAAATAATTGCTTTAATGGACACTTGGGTATTTTTTCTAAATGACAGTTTTTTCATGTGATTAACTGTGTCAATTTGATTTTATACTAATTTGAAAAAAAAGAAGATGTCAATCAAACTCCTGAAAATTAATATTATAATAAAACATTGAAAGAATTGTTGTAACCATTATAAAATCATAAATTCTCAATTTTACTGGTGTTTACATTACCTATTTATTTATATTTACCAGTCTCTGTGTGCACAAATGATGTTGGACCGACGAGAAGAAGAGAAGCTATGTGACCACTTGATCACCTCGGCTAAGAGGCGGGATTATTCCGTTGCCATGAAAATGCGGGATAAAGTGCTCAATATACTTGCCAACAAACATGGTGCATGGGGCGAACCAGATAAGCAGTAAGCATGTTCACTAAATTAAATTGCTTGGCAGTTATAGTCAAGTCTGTTAAATATAAAACAGTAAGTCTGCAATGTGCAGCATTATTTATGTAGTTGTATCTGCAGTGGGAAATGTCTGATTGGTTGACAGGCAGTTTTAAGTTCTACTCTAGGTGCTTTGAAGATGTTGTTTTATGAATAAGTAGAACTCAACCAAAAAGAGAAATTAACTATTTGGTTTATCTGTCATTGACCTAAGTGTTTGCTGGTGTCAGAATTTTGCCTAATGAATAATGCAAAGTTTTCAATGTCAAAGCATAAGGGAGTTTTAACACACTTTGTTGTGTACAATATTTTTGGGGCTTAATGCTGCACTGTCATGCCTCAATGAACTTCCAAGAAGAAAAAAGAAATTATGCCAGTGTGCCAGTGTTACAGTCAAACTTGTATAATTATAATGTATTATTTTCTTTTCTGCATAAGTTACCACAGAATTCGTACAAGTTTTATGGTCAGAAACTAAGCAATTTAGAATAATCTATATCGGCATCTATAGCAAGGTCTCTTTACATATTCAATTTATTTGTTTGTCATCATAAATCAGAAATTATTTTTGATAATTAGTTGGTCACTTGCTACTGGAAAGCCAGTTAGGTGGATTGAAGCCAGAATGCCACCAAAAAACTTTGTGTTAAAATCTGCATAAATCTGTTAACAAGCAAGTGTTTTATCTTGATCTTATGTGTATAAATAATAAACCAACATGAGCTTGGCTGAACTTTATGGTATAAACCTGCAAGCAAAGGTGAATAAATGAAAGATGGACTTTATAAATGCTGTATATGTTGGAGACAACTTTGTATTTTATGTAACTTTGATTTGTCTCCCCTTGTTCTGCCAGAATTGATGAATACTGGAAGCTGGATGTATGGGAAGATGACAGTAGAAGGAGGAGAAGGTTTATAAAGAACCCGATTGGCTCCACACATCCAGATGCTGCTCTCAAGGCAGCTTTAGAACATGGTTAGTAGGTTTTTACTTGGAAGTAACTTATCTGTCATAATAGATCAAGATTATTGGATGAGTTGAATCATCCATGTAATCTGTCTTATCATTTACCTGTCCACCATAAACAGGTATGGCATGGCCGCAAATACTGTTCTGTGACAATATGGTTGAACACTGTATCTCTGAATCTTGTAAAACATTTTGAGATTAAAGTAATTCCAGTGCTTATAGTAGTTTTGCTGTGGGCATATGGTTAGGTAGCTCTATGATACTGAAAAACCTTAACCAATCTGTGCTGAGACTGAAATGCACTGCCTAAAAGAATTTAAATGTAATTATAAATTTTGCATCCATTTATTACATGAAGACTCCTCATAAATTGTAAATCATGCAGACATAGCTTGAAAAAATTGAATAAGTAAGTACAAAAAAAAAAGAGAAAAAAGAAGAATTATTTATGGCTTCTCCACTTGTTACAGTTGCTTATGATTTTTACATTAATTTACTAGAAATGTAGAGATATAAATCAGAATGGGAAGTATAGCCAATAATGTTAAATAAAACATCTGCAGTAATGAATGACAGTCAATGATTTATGGTTTGTGGTCACCAAGAATTATTTCTGGAACCTGGGGGCTTAAGATATTTGAAATTTACTGCATTGAGCTTGAAGCTTTATGACTAGAAGTACACTGTAATATTTATGTGTTTGCGAAAATGAACATGTCAAATTAGAAATTTATGTATTTTGTCCTAACAGGTGCAACAGCTAATGCAAATTACCTGACCTGATATTCTGTCTAGGCATACCTGGATGGTTTCAAAGTTAGGGACCTGATTGTCTCACTTTGATGATTTATCGCCTGTTCATAAACATTTACATTATTAGTTCCATCCACCTTGAAGGGAGAGATGGTGTTATGGTGCCTTTTTCTCAACTTTGGAATTGTGGGTTTTAGCCCTGCTTTGGTCACAATTATATTTTCTGATTTTGCACCAGTTCATATTCCAAGTAGCGGGCTCAAAAGTGGTTCAAATAAGCAAGCTAATATAGATTTTTAAACTATATTTCACTGACTTTTAGTTACCTTGAACAGTTGTGGGTTCCAATCCTGCCATGGACTTAAACCTTTATTCATTATTAAAAGATTGCCATATCTCAACAGAACATGCCTTTGGATGATAAGTTGCATTTTGACATGCTTTCAAGTAACCTTGAACTTGAAAACCAAATTTTCATATTTTACCATGACTTTGATACTAATTTACTTTTCTGGAGGTTAGCATTGTGTTGGGCTAACCTATCTTTTGTAAAAAATAATGTACACTTATTTCAATGATGATGTTCGATTACTTGTTTTGTCCTGCTACAGGTGCTACTGAAGATGCAATTAACCAGGCCCGTGATGCGTTCCATGCTCACCTAGATAGTAAAAAAGCACAGGCATTAATGCCAGAATATACAGATGAAGAATTGCTCATGGAAGACAACACAGAGTTTGAGAGAGAATATTCAGGTATTCATACATTGAGTCAAGTCTTGGGAATGTTCTTATACCTCTTTTAATATGATTATTGTAGCTTATTCATAATAACAGTTGAGATTGGTGAAGATGGCTGATTTCAAATCACTAGTCCGTTAACATCTTTGGTTTGAATCAGAAATGGACTTTGGATTCTCTCAAGTGATGAAGATATTCAACTATCTTATGAATGGTCATTGGTGCTACTTATTAAGATGGCTAATGCTTTCACTTGCAGAAGTTTATATTATCATTTGTATCTTGTTAAGAACTGCAAATAGTACAGATGCCTTTTGAAAAAAGATTCAGAGACAAAGATAGTGGACCAGTTGATGGTTTCAGAGAAATAAAGATAGTGGACAGAATTGATGGTTTTATTATTTTTGGTAACAAGTATTACTCATAAGGAATAAAATCTGTTTATATGGATAGCTTTTAAATTTAAGTTTTTTTCTCTATACGGATGGCAAAATTATTTGAAATTGATATCTTTTTCATGCAGCTGACTTGTATTATTGATTTGATTATTAGGGCAAAAGTCAATGGTTTGTAAATTTATTTCATATATTTCAAGCTCTATTTACAGAAATTCCATTGAGAAGACAAACTATTCAGTTTCACTATCTTTTTAGCATAGAAGCGTATGATTTAGTGGTAGTTAAATTTGTTATTAAAGATGCCATTATTGTTTATCTGCTATAAAATCTCATTCAGTATGATATACATCCAGTAGAGAATTGATCTGAAGTGGTTGTTTGTTAAAAAACAATACAGCTTAAAATTTTATCTTTGTCTAGAAGGAAAGCATATGTTTTAACATTGCGTGGGATATTGATTTTGTATTTTATTCATGATAGATCTTAGTGTATGAATATATAATTATCCAAGTTGGAATGAGCATTATTGTTCTCAAACATATTCAGGTCCTGTTGCTATGTCCACCACTTGCAAACTGATAGCCCCTGGCGTGGCCATTAATGGTATAATGTCTATAACAAAAACTGATCTCTACTATGAAATGGACGAAGATGATGCTGAAAACAAGAAAATAGATCAAGAGGTAGGTGCAGATGTGGTGGTGGTATTGCTGTGCACATGTAGTCATGTCATTCTCAGGAGCTTTTGTTCTGAAATGTTCCCCTGCAACCAATGCCAATAAAATGAAACTTACAATATGTTTTGCATTTGGCAGATTAGTAGCTACAATACAATATTTTGGTCCTTTTTTGTACCGATACATTTGTATGTTTGATTTTGCACTTGTACAAGTATATGCATAAACAAAAATGAAACTATGAAAAAGCTGTACAACATTTTGGTACAACATTTTGGCCATAATATGTTAGAATTAAATAATTTGCTGAAAAGAATATAAAACATTGAGTTGGTAAACTGGCCTAATGTGAGTGTTAAGTATTTTGTTTTATTACATGACTTATTGTTTTCATTGTTCTATAAACATAATGCATTTCTTTACTCTTTACATTACATGGGTTTAAAAGGCCATTTTTCTTGCATTTTGATATAATTTGACAAAAAAATTTTTTCATATAAAAGTTCATATAATTCGTCCTAGAAAAGTTATAATGCTCCCTCAGACTTCTTTTAAAAACATTTTCCTTGAATGTTTAATAAAAGAATATGTCATTACACTTCATTCGTAGTTTATATCTTGACATAATTTTATATCAAATATTATAATACACAAATAAACTGTCAACAATTGTGTCAAAATAACAATTTGATATACCAATTAAAATCGGTGATTTGGGCTATCAATAAACTCTCTCTTTTCTAATGATATACATATTATTCTAGGTGTTTCAAATGATAAAGATAACATCAAATATGTGAAAATAAGAGACGCTTGACATACAAAAGTATTAATTTCTTAATGAAAAAAATATGTCTCTCAAATTCCAGCTGTCAACATTTCAGATCTACACTGACCCTCTGAACCAAAGTCATTAATGAAAATTGCTTTATTTTTTTTTGTATTTAAACAAATATAATTGTCCAGACATTCATAACTTAAGAAAATAGAAATTTGCATTTATTTCTTCATGCGTTTTGAGCGCCCTATTCACAACACTTGCTTATCATTTTTTTTGAAGACCATTAGTTTGTTGAGCGACCAAACTGTAAATCTTGAATATCTTATGATCAAAGTATGCATATTGAAGTAAAAAGCCATTCATTCCAGAAAACCAACTCAATGAGTTTTGTATCTTACATGTGTCCCTAGGCACTGTCTGAAGCTAGAATGGCGTTTCCATTGCCATGTTATTTTCTTATAATATAGTCCAAGATAAAGAATTTCTTTATTTCTTATACTTAGATAATCGCTTGTATTTTATATTTAGACAAATTTATATGCTCACTTTTGTATGTTTGATACTTTTCTTTATTCAATGATACTGCAAACGATAAAGATGTCCATACTACTATGTTATGCATGAAATCTATGTCATAGGTTAATATAATTTCCTACTCCGTTTATAACGAACGATCGTTCGTTTATTCTATGTATGCCCAAATTGCGTTCGATCTGTGTTAGATATATTTATTGTTTCGGGTATTTTTTCATCATCGGAAGACAGAAGATATACTTAATGCGGTGAGTACAAATATTATATTGGGTAGCCCTTGATCTTGATGTACAATTTATAGACTTTGTAGACACCAACATGAATTCAGATTATTTGGAGTTAACAACATGAGAAGGCTTCCTAATCATCAGGGTTTTTTTACGAACAAGTTTACAATCTTCCAGGCATTTAGGTATCTCATTGTAATACATACAAGATAATTTTTAACAAGCGGACCTGCCATATAGATGGAAGTTATGTATTGTCAAATGAATAAAGCATCGTTTGGAATGCCACGTTATATAAAGTTTCAGTTGTTATATGTTTTGTTGTTGAAAATTGAAAGTAATGTCTCTGTTTAATGTCACTGTGAATTGACCCCCAACATAAGTTTTGTATATGTCTCATTACTTTGTTCTTGTACTGATGAAACCTGTTCTTCCACTTGGCCCTTTCTATCTGTGTATGTCTCGTGCACGAGATAAACACCTACATCGAATGAAAAAGATATTGAGTTACGGGCGCTGTCCGTGATAAACTTGGGGAATCCATACGTCTACACTGTATGGCAATGATAGTACGGTATAATGTACGGGCGCCTGAACATCGAGCCAGTATAATTGTTCTGTCATGTTATCACCATGTTGATTATGAAATACAACTCTAATGGAGTCTGCGTTTTGTAATTGGGAGTCATAAATTACATAAAAAAATGTTTCCGAAAAAAAATTGTAACATTCTTTTTCTTTAAGCAGTGTCTAAAGGAGAATTTTGACATTGTTTATGTAAGTGTAGAAATATATTTATGAACGTTTCAGTATTTTCCTGAACGCACTTTTCAACATCACTCACAATTTATCAGTTTCATCTTTTAGATCATATGCTGAGTTTACTTTCCCGTACGAATTGTTTCCTTAACTTATGAATGTGTTGGGTAGTACGATCCGAGACTTAATTACCGCTCATTCTTGCCAGGCGGACTCGTTGTGGGTTTTTTTTTCTCTGAAAATAAAATAGAAAGTAAAAGATTATGAAAAAACACGATCGAATGATAAATCGATAGGGTCTGAAAAGTCGCCGCATGGTATAGATCCTGAATATTACGTATAGGTTAGTGTTTAATAATACGTATTAACAAAAAATAATTGGTCAAGCGTGTCGCAGACTTAGACTTAGCAGAAATTTGAAAAATACTGCAATATGATTGGATAAAAAATAATGTTGATCATTAAAAAATATTTAAATGAAATCTACATTTCTTTAATTAAAAAACCTACGTTGATGGGAATGTCTACATATATCTTGATTTCTGAATATTTCCTGCTCTGATAACTATATTAAATCAGTTCTTCCCAATTTAAGTATGCAGACAATGTGTATTATTTACGGAGAGAGAAACAGAATTGAACTAATTGGCATTAAATTGCTTTTATTGTATGGTTATTTTCACTGCTGAAGGTATACTTTTAATCTCTGTTTTGTAAGTGATGCTTTAATTGTGCTGTAATTGTAGAGTACATTCTGGGACCACCAGCGTTTGGAAGTAATAAAATTTCTGTAATCTGACAGCTCTGAATTCGCTAAATGAATTGCCTAAAAATTGAAGTAAATTATTGAAATTAATTTCAATTGGTATTTAATAAGATCCTTTAAATGTTGGAAGTTTTGTTGGAAGTTTTACGTCTTAAAAGTTAGTTTTTGAAAAAAAACACGTTATTGAAAATACCGATTAATAATTTATAATATGTGAACTGTTTTCGTAGCCTGTATATAAACAGATGTTTCTATCCACTAGGGTAAGAACTATAAATATGCCTCCCCTCATTTTCATAAAGTTTCAAAATGGATTGACGTCGATTCATGATAAAAATGTAAAATTATTTTTTTTAAGAAAAAATAATAATTCTGTTTGCTTACAACATTTGATATAGTTAATAAATAGTTTGGTGAAATATAGAAAGTTATCGAGAGGCAAATGAGAGATAATAGCGCTAATATTCCGTGAACTTCTTCAATAATGGGACAAATTAATATACCAACAGAGTTATACGACATCAGCATGGTGTAATGGCATGATACGTGAACCTTGTGTATTAAATGACAATCAACGATTGCATAGTGTAATGAATTTTACAGATAACATTTTTTAGAATAAAATCCTCCGACCATTGTTCTTCTCCCTAATTTCTCGCATACTCCTCTGTTTCGATAGCTGTGACTTGATTTGAAACTAAAATGTAAATATTGTGTGGCATGAAGTCTTTGTGTCGCTTATACTTCAGTCATTAATGTCAAAGTTTGGTCATGAAAACCTTTCATGTAGAAGTAGAAACACCTGTTGGTAATGCGGGGTCCTGCCAAAAATATGATACAAAATAATGAAACTATCTCTTTTGTAGATAACTTTAAAAAAAAGATACATTTGGTTAATTAATTCCCTTTTCCAGCTTTTCATGAATGAGTAATGATCCCTTTTCATGACGATGTCTGTAACTCTATCTATAGAGCAGTTCGTTGTTTTTCTGACCTATTTGATACACTTATCTCCTGTTTTAATCTCATAAACTTGCTTTATTCACTGCTGATAAATTAGTTAAAATTACAAGGAACTCTAATCAATTAGGAAGAAAATCATTAATCTCATTCCGTCCTCTTGACGGGCGCAACAACCAAAATGTCAAACGCATGAGGAGAATGGACACATTTTATAGGTATATGTAGGTAATGTAAGACGATGATGACTGTTCCCTCTCCGCCTGGTTTTGGCTCGGGTTACTGCTCAATTTTCATCAAGAAACTATTTCTCCTCAGGTGTTGCTTTCAAGTTGTATTGCAAGGTCAATTGAGGTTACAGTAGCAGGTCATTAACTGTCGTTTAATGATAAACAAATATGCTCATAAAATGAAGTTTTTCGCTAGAATCGTTCTCGAGTTTCACATACTTTTGGTTTAAATACTTTTTTTGCTACGTCGTTCAAAAATACACAAACACAGTCTTTTAATTAAATGGTTTGATGTTTTTGTTGTGTCATGCACATTTTGAATATAATAATATACAAATAATGCAAAAATGGCTCATTGAAACTATTTAATTTACTAGTAGTTTATTGAAGTATAATGAAGTATAAGACGACTGAGACTGTGATTTAAGTATTTCACTTTTTTATTGTTCATTTATTTATTTTTGGGTCACAGTGACACTGTAAAGGTCATAAGGCGACGTTCTGGCTTTACTCTTAGTCACTTCATAGATGTCCCCGCGTATTATGTTAGTCGCAAGTGGGTTACTTGAGTAGAACCACCGACGTTCGTCCTCACATAAAAGAATCCTAACTTAAAGCAATGAGTGGTTTGAAGTCAATGACTTTAACCGCTCGGCTTAAACTATTATTTAAGAATATCGAAATTAATTTATAAGGAACACCTTTAGCACAATTGAAGATTTTGTTAAAATATGTTATTTAGCATGTCA